TTCAACAAAGAAAATATAATTCCGAAACCAATATAGCGGTTCATTTAGAAGTTCATACATTAGAAAACCTTTTTGTGTACTTTTTTTTCTTTTTGAGATATATCAATATTGCTTTATTTTTAATTATAATACTATAATAATTATAGTTTAATTTTCACATAATTTTATTTAACAACGACCTATGATTTACGATCTGTTGTGTTATCCCTTTGGAGTGCCGCCTAAACTCACACGAACAATTTAATGCCATTAACAAACCTAACAGTATCTCGTAATCCTCATACTTAACTCATTTCTTAGGGGCACAAGTAGATAAGATGGGTTAAAACTTTACTCTATATTCCTTGCAATTTAATATTATATATAGATATTCGTTATTTCTTCAGCATACCTAGTCTCATAACAAGATTTTTTGTATAAAGGGGTTTCACCTAAAAATTATAATAATAATTTAATTATTAAAAAAATAATAATAATGAAATAGGTAAAAATTTATTACCACTTCATATAAATTTTAAAAATATAAGATTCGATATTTCAAAAAGAAAAAACTTTAACAATCAAAAGTGAAACCATTACACAGAGATTATATATTATTTTCTTTTCTCACCATACTTCGATAAGATATTAAGAACACATCATACGATAAAGCGATAACCCATCATTCTCTTTTCAAACGACAATGAGATTCATTGTTTTTTTGATCCGATTCTAAATTCTTATTCCCGTCTGTTAACATAAATAGTAATGTAGGTAAGCATTTCAATAGTTATTATATATTCCCAGAACCAATAAGACCCAAAGACGAATTACAACAACAACTTTAATAATCAATGAGAGTGTAAATGTGTAAATAGTCTATTTAACTATCTAATAATGGTCGAGTATTATCGATCAGCTGAAACATTTTCGAAAATGTGGTATCTTAAATGTTCGAATTTGAATTTACTCGAACATCATACTGCTCGAATCAAAGGTTGTAATATTATTACAATATTGTTAACAATTAAACATTATTTTTGTCTTTTGAAATTTAATTCGCAATCTATTTTGTATAGAAAAGGTTGATAGAATTTTTATATCCAAACAATTTTTCAATTTTTAATCAAGTAAGTGCAGTTAGAGAGACCATACTTCCATTATCAGTGGTCATTAGATACGTCTGTTCGAAATTAAACCCTGCCAAATATGTACTGAAGACCCGTGTGTTAATGTTTTGACAATTTGTATAATTATAGGCCTATACTTATAGACACTTATAGACTATTAATAAGAACAAACGCATAAACCACAGTTATATAAATTAACTTAATCGTTGTAACTTATATTACGATAATACCAGAAAGATCTTTGCACAATAGTAGTTACCTGTCACAAAAACTGCCTATTTCCACTATATATTGTATATTTTATCTATTAAAATTAAAAATTCAAATTATAGAATTAAAAAATATTTTTAGAAGTATTGTATCGTTTTATATTATCAAATTCCTTTATAAATAAAATTAAATCTTTTTTAATTCAAATAGCAAACTATTTAAGCTCTCTTATAATGTATTCCAAATGTCATTAGATATAGATATATATTTATATATATACGAGTATCTATATTTCTTAGTAGATTTCTTTGTAATAAGCACTATTCAGCTGAGTTAAGTAAATATTAATTAGCCACTCAGAAACGAGTAAGTAAATAACTTCAAAATATGTTGAAACGAAGTCTCATAAATAAATTAAATTCACAAACAAATAAATACAAGCAAAAGATAAATAAACTGAGCGCTTTAATATAAAAAAAAATTAAAATATAAATACTTAAGTAGATAAAAAAAACTAGTAACGAGGGTCATTCAATAAGTCAGCAAATATTGTGTAATACTTGTATTTCTTAATAAAGCCAAGTTTAGTGGTCATTAAAAAAATCTAAAATTTATGTAAAAAATTTGTTGAGACTTTATATAAAATAAAATTAATGTAATAAGAGTAATAATGTTAAAGACAAATATGCATGAAATTTAAAAGAAATTAAAGAAACCTCGTCAGAAACATTTACCTTAAAAACGCTGTCTTAAAACTTTTTTATCAATATTTTTGTTACACAGTAGTAAAAATATTTAATTTTAAATTAAATTAATAACTATTTTCATACAATTTTTTTATTTTAATTTTGTTATATTAGAACTTATATACTGAATGTGTTTGCTTACAGATGATGAATCCTTATAAATAAATAAACCCGATTATATTGCCATAAAACCAATATAAAATTAAATCGTTTTAATTTAAAATTTAAAAAATTGTAATATAAAATAAAAAAAATATTTTTAAAAAAATTTTATGGCAGCGGTGGGATTCGAACCCACGCCTCCGAGGAGACTGGTGCCTTAAACCAGCGCCTTAGACCGCTCGGCCACGCTACCGCATGGTAATGGTAGTACAAATGTCTTTTGGTTTCTGCAGTAAAACAATATAAAAATAAAAAAATTTTTTAGTACACAATACTAAAAAACAGTTCTGCTTATAAAAAATATGCATTTGCGTTTGCAAATTAATAAAAAACAAATAAGACATTAGTGTATATAAAATAATGTTTATTATATACATTAACTTAAATATACTTCAATTTAAATAAAAATTTTTTAATTATTATTATATATAATTTAAGTTGATTTTAAAATAATATTCTATTTTTAATAAGAAAAAAGGTCATAAATTTTGTTAATTATATTATACATTGGAACAAAACTTGGCTTAAGGTAGCGTGGCCGAGCGGTCTAAGGCGCTGGTTTAAGGCACCAGTCTCCTCGGAGGCGTGGGTTCGAATCCCACCGCTGCCAATTTTTTTTATTTTTACTTTTTTTTATTTCTAATTTTATTTATTTATAAGATGTATGAAATGTATTATGATTTTATATATAAATATTTTTTGTTCTTATTAAATACTCATGACTTGCTTATTTAATCAAATAATTACACAAATGTAATATTTATAACAGCATTAACGATTCTGTGAACTGTGGAATATTTTTTCAATTTTAATCTCATAAATGTTTATATTTTTCTTATGTACTGAAATTAACAAAAATGTAGTAAATTAATAAAAATCTTAATATATATTTTTATAAATGGTACTTAGAAATTGTATTATAGATCAAGTGTATTTATAGATCATCAATTTTTGCTTTTAGATATATTAAACCGCAGTTAGTGTATTAGTAAATTTAATATAAAAATGAGTACGCCTTTTTTAAAGAATAAGCATCTAAATAATTTTATCAACTTTCTTAATTTTATTACGTTACAAAATTAAGCCTTAATCACTTGTTAAAAAAAAAACAAACAAATCAAATGTTTATAGTGTGTCACAAAAGTAATTTTCTTTGCGAAAATTCGTTTTAAATGAAGAAGTCAATAAGCAAATAATAAAAAATAATCACTTTTGATTTTATATATTTAAGTTGACAACGACAACAGAACATGATGAAATAATTGATAAAAAAGTAGTAGATTTGAAAATATATTTGTTATAGTGATTGGGTAGCATTTTGATATCATATGTAGGGTGCAACTAATCTCGTATAAAATTTAAAGTTTAGCTTTAAAATAATAGATGTGTCACTTCTCTGTGTTATTGTGTAATTGGAATACAGTTTTTAAATCTACTTCTAAGATTTACAAATTTAATTGACAAGCATTTAAAGCTAATGTGTGGATTACACCTCTCTTTAGAATATTATATATTTGGAATAAATTCATTACAAAAAACGGCTAAATTCACTAAAGATATTAAGTAAAAGGTCAAAGTAAAGTCTTTAGTTTATATGACATTTATATGAAAGACTAACGATAATCACTTTTTTTGGCAATTTATTTATTTTATATATTGCTAATCAATCAGAGATTAGAGTATTCTTTAAGAAAATAATAAGTAAGTAAGTTAAAAATCACACTCCCGTTTCTAGCTGATTGTGTTCTCAATAGACAAATATTTTATTGCTTGTATAAATGAGTAATACTTAGCGTCTATTGAATTCATTTAAAAATGTTTTAATTTCAGATTTTGTTAATACTTTATATATTTTGAATTAATACAAAAAGTAAAATATTAATTAAAAAAGAAACCTGGCAGCGGTGGGATTCGAACCCACGCCTCCGAGGAGACTGGTGCCTTAAACCAGCGCCTTAGACCGCTCGGCCACGCTACCTCATAACTGTACTTGGTCAAGTGTCTAATCTGAATAACCCAAGATTAGAATTTTTTTATCAAACTTTTTGTTTTTTATAAATAAATGTACAACTTAATATTAAAAGTTTTAGTTTTTATCCGTACTACTAACAAATATGACATTTACTTTTTCACTAACACATACAAATTTTTATTCGAAAACAATACAATTATAAATTCGAATATAAGAATCTTGTTAAAGTCTAGCTTGTGTATAAGTCGAATATACACAGTACTTGCCACACATAAAAATAAATATATTCGACTAATTTTTAATATTGCCATATCTATCCTGAAATTTTTAATTGTTTAAAATAAAATTTAAAATATTTTTCGAGTATAAGTTATCTTATTCCTACTAATTTTTATGTTATTATAATTAATTACAAAATATAAAATCTTATAACTAAGATAGGAAAAACAAGCGCTGGCTGCCAGGGCCTTCGCAGTTTTTATTATATATTTATTTTTAAATATATAATAGGAATAAAATACTGAAGTGAATTTATTTATTATATATATACATATATAATATTCTTTGTATTAAGCACGAATTGTAATAAACAAATTATTGTAAAATCTAATCAAAATATATTCTTTGCTTCAAAATCACAATGAATAGCGAGATATGACAGAGTTGTGGATCATTTTCATTCTCTTTGTAATATATACTCTTAAGTTAGACTTGGCAGCACTTAGACATTTTGCTATAGTTTCTAGGCGGACTTGCACGAAAATTTAATTTTGGGATTTCTTATTATTTTTCATAAGAAAATTATGTCGAATAAAATGTGCGCACTATGCAAAGTGCATAAAAGAAATTTAACATCGGCTTACAAATATGTGGACTATTGTGGTGAACGCAAAAAACTTTCCGAAGTAATCGCGTTACTGAAACGTGTAGAGGTAAATTTTGTACAATTTCCTTATATTATAATACACGTATATCTATTTATATAGATTTCACAAGTTGAAACTTCGGATGCCAAAATATGTGAAGATTGTAATAAAGATATTTTAGTATCTATAAAAATAGAAGAGTGCATAAGGATTAATAGATCATACGAGAGCCGTTATTTGAGATATGAAAATGAATGTAACGGCATTTATTCCATGCCTCTCAATCCGAATATTGTTGATTTAGAGGCAGTGAAACAAGAACCAAATGGTATTAATAAAGTAAGTTTGGTGAAAGACATTGAAAATATGGAAAAATTAATAGAAGAAAAGGAACAATCTAAGGAGGCTACAGGTTGGAAATTTGTTGGAGAAGTTTTTGAACAACAACGTAAATCAAAAACGAAGGCAATAAAACAACCACCAAAGATAGATTTAGCTCCGATTTGTGGCATACTACAGGAAAAAATGAACTATTCTAATAATTCATTTATTGGAGTGGTAGATATTGGAAAGAGTCACAATTTAGGTACACCGGATTTGGATAAATATAAGTCTAATTACTTTACAGCACAATCTCCTTTGTCCAACGATTCAATTAATCCTTTGAATTTCGTAATCGCACATCCATTTGGGGACGAAAATAAAAACGATACTGGAGTAACTGACTCTGCTACGGAAAGTAAACCGGGTATATTCGATGAAAATGCAAATAAATATAGTGCTGATGAAACTATAAAGATACTAAAACAAATTTCTGAAAATGCTGTCACAAAACAACAATTTCAAGACTCTATAGCAAATAAAAGATTTCTTGAAGTTAAATTGGTTGACTTAGCTGATTGTACTATTAAAAGCAACTCCGATACAGTCGGTAAAAGTACACAAAAACATAATATTGATAAAACTGAAAACGTATTTAAAAAGTCTGCTAAGAAGACTAAATCAAAACATCATGCCAATGGCTTAAAGAAAGCTAACAAGGGCACGAAATTTGGATTAGTAAAGTTAACCGATTATGTTATTGATTGCAACTCACCTCCATTTGATGAAAGTCCCCAGAAATCTTCTACGGAAGTTATCACAAAACATATTGATACTAGCTCTAAGGCATATCAAGAAATTAATGACATTCAATTAAATACATTTAATAAATGTGCTCTAAATGAGAAATGGAATATATTGAGTTGTTATGGAAGTTACGATTATCAAGAACAAGTGGATCAGTACTGTAACCAAAATATTGAACTAAGTTCGATGTTTAAGATTTCAAAAGATTTCACAATAGATAAAAAAATATTTAATATCAATAATGGATTCAAAATAGAAAAAAAAAGGAGACAACATTCAGTTCCTGAAATAGTGTCACTATTTAGTAGAAATTATTTCTATAACACCGATGCTTTCATAAATTACTGTATGAACTTTGTTGTTAAAGATGAATTGATGGAAAATATTGAACTGGGTGCAGAAAAAATAAATATAATCCAGAAAGCAATTGTTTAACAGTTGCCTAAATTTAGAAAGTAATTTTAAAACAGTAAAACATAATTTATTATATAAGTTAAAAAAGTAAATCAAAAAAAAAAGAACTATGTTGTTAAAGATAAATTAATACATAATATTAAACTGGGTGCAGAACAAATAAATTTTAACAGGTATGAAACAAAATTTATAAAGTAATTTTGAAACAAGTTAACATAATAATTTTTTACATAAGATAAAAAGTAAAACAAAAAACAAAAAAAAATTTTGCAAATTTAGATTATATAAGAATCTATTTTAGTTTATTCAAAACAAAAACAAAAAAATGTAAAGTTGATTTTTAGATATATTTATATCATTAAACGGTGTTAACATATTGCATAAAGTGTAAAACTATTTCATGACAGTTAAATAACCAGTTACATATATTACGTTTATATTAAGAAACTATTTAAAAATCATTACTATGAAAAAAATTTTCTTTTTCTGTACATTTTCTTTAATGTGCAGTTATTAATTTAACAAATGTTTGTAACGGATAAAATTTAAAAATTCTACTTGTAAATTGTGTAATAATATATAAACATTTAATTTTTACCGGGGTGGCATCACTACTCTTGCTTTATCGACAACAAGTGTCAGATAAACAAAAGCTTTTTATTTAAAATTATACTTGGTTTAATTTGTTCTTTACTTATTTTTGATAAAATGTTAAAGTACGAACAAAATTGTCGGATTTGTTTAACGCATAGAGAGGACTTGTGTTCTTTATACACTAAAGTGCCTCATTTTAAGCAGCCCAAATGCTTGACAAAAATAATAAAGGAAATAAGTGGAGCGAGTGTAATTACATTACATACTTAATTTAATTATTGAAAAGTATATATATTGTATTTATATAGATTGTCGAAAAATTCGAGCCAAATGCAAAAATCTGTACTGGATGTTATAAGGCAATTATTGATGCTGTGGACATAATAATGAAGTGCAAAAACAGCTGCAAAAATGCTGACGAATTTAATACAATTAAAGTAGAATTATTGGAGAATAATATTGAGGAAACTGTATTAAGCAATCACAAAAGAGTTGAGTACACTTCAGAGAAAAATGTGACTAATCTAAACTCAGATATTTACTCAGAAGCGCCGACCAACAATACCTGTTCATTTGACCCTAGTAATAAAAAAACCAATAGACGAAAATATATACGAAGAGTCAATGCTAATAAAGAATTTTATTTTCGATGTACGCACTGCAGTTATTTTACGTGCTTCGCTACATATTACCGCAAACATTTGGAGGAAATCCACAAAATTATGAATGCACGTATTTTTAAATGCACACAATGTGAGGATAAGGACTTCCTAGAACATCGGTACTTACAGGAACACATAGAACTAAAACATAAGCAACTGCCGAAATATTTGAATTTTCTATGCTCTGAATGTGGAGCTGGTTTCAACAAGTCCAGTACCCTGCGTTATCATCAACGAACCCATTTGCCAAAAGCATCTCGTAAAGCAATACAATCAGTACGCTGCGAATTTTGTAATAAGAACTTCTCAAAGAATAGCATACGTATGCATAAGAAGGTAGTACATGCTGCACAGCGACCGCATGCCTGTAAAATATGTCAAGTCGATTTTGCACTCTACAGTTCCTTACAGTCGCACATGCGAAATTCCCATTCCACTTTGAAATATTCATGTCCTTGCTGTGAAAGTAAATTTCGTATTAAAAGTGTTTATGACGCACATCTACAGCGTGGTACTTGCAAAAAATTGGGCTTCAACTGCAGTTACTGTGCTTGGAGATTTAGGACAGCAGAACGTTTAAGAAAACACGAGATTAATGTACATAAAAACTTGCTATATGCAGATAAAGACTTCAATAACGACAATAATACACACTCTAAAGTGTGTAAAACAGATGATCATGAAAAAACTTAGTCAATATGGACAATTATTTATCGATTTTTGATTCCACATTTCATCTGTGTTTCTGTTGATACATTCTGCTGACTGAAAATATTCTTATAAGAGAATACATACAAATGGATAGATATACATATATTTATAGTTAAGAGATACTCATATAAAAAAGAAACCAGAATAGATGGACATATATCGTGCTGTTTTGTTTAGGTAAGCTGTACTTTCTTATATTTTATTTAAATTATCATTAGCTTAAGCCGTGTAAACCAATTACGATCTTACGACTTTTATTGGTTGAAAACAATATTTATTATTATTACATTTATTATTACATTTTTTTATTTTTATATTTAGTATTATTGAAAACCTGTTTAGTTTGTCATCCTAGCGAACGTTTGACGTTTAAACATAAGAATTATGCGAGTTTTTGGTGGTATTTGCTAGTATTTCTATACATAGATTCGGCAGCTTCTAAGTCAATGTTTTTCCTTTAAATTTTATTAATTGTAACAGAATTTAGAATTTATTTTTTGTTACTTTAAACAAAGACTTGTTTATGTACATATTTAATATTAAATTTAAATAAATAACATATTGTAATATTAATGCATATATATTGACGCTTAAATCCCAGGAGTAACCGCCGCATCTACGTCCTGGAATTAACTGTCTTGCCATACTACCAAATGTCCTTTCACTTCTAAGAAGGACGAAACCAGCAATATTCTAATTACATATATGTTAATGCTTTTATCACAACACCTTTTATTTAATATTTTTTGATTTTCCGCTCAACTTTGTGATGATCTTATTTAAAGTAATTTGTAATAGCATTAAGACGTGATATTAAAGATTGTATAAAATATTAATATACATCTATATATATTGAAATATATATATAGAAATATATATACATATTTCCTACATTTTTATACTTTCTGTGATTGTTTTTCATACATTTTATATTAAATTTGTGATGTCTTTTTCTACCGTCTATAAATATTTCTGTTACGTTAAGATATTTTATTAAAGACATAAACATACTGTACATTTTTACAATATAAACTGATTCAGAATCGATCAGGTGGATCTACATTATATACATTTTTTCAAATCATTATTGATCCCTCACGACTTCCTTCTTACAAACTCAAAAAGTCTTAAAACGACAATCTAAACTAATCAAATTAAATAATTTTGTGGGCATTCATATCTAATAAAGATAATAAAGATATTACTAGTTATTGGCTGCATAAATTATTTTTCAATAGATCAATAATCATTTGCTTCTTAAATCTAAGAGTTAGATTCAATACGTTATTAAATTATAGCTCCAATCCATTCGTTTACAGTTTAAGTTATGTAGATCTGAAATAATTTCAGCTTGCTTTACTATTTTAATTTTTTTTTAAATTAATATAAGTCAATTATATTATGCCTAATTTTAATTTTTTTATTAAAAATACTTTTTATTAAAAAGACACTATACTTTTATACCATATGCCGAATGAGAATTTAATCTTTATGTTAACAAAATTTATTCCTGCCCTCTTAATAACGCATACATAATGGTGTACCACTATAGTATAAAAACATACATTAGCTATAAATTTCCTAATCTGAACTAAATGTCGCAGTTGTTTTGGAAATCAAAGAAATCCAAAAAAAGTTTTAATATATAAACTTAAATCAAAGTTGTAAAAATAGAAGCTATTTTTAAGTTTTCGTTAAAACAAATAAATATAGAACACAGAATTCGTGGTGCGCTACAATTTCATAGAGTTTTGAAAAGAATTGCGAGAAAAACATTACTGAAACAAGCCTAGAATTCTTTTTACTACCTATCATATACGCAAAAATGCTATAGAGTTAAAGCGAACTCTAAAAAAACTTTAAAATTTATCGTGTTTTAATATATAATATCTCTTAAAAGTAATAACATGAGCAAACGTATGAAGTAGAATGGAAGGATAAAGAGTTTGAGGGACGTTATAAGAAGTTGAAGTTGAAACAGAAATTGGAAATATGACAGCCCACACTTTTATGTAGTCACGTAAAAGAGGTGTACCCCTCATGAAGTTCAACTAAATCAACTTAAGATGGTTTTCAGCGGACAGAAGTCGCTACCGATGCGACATTCCAGGCAACCGTCAGGCTAAAGAGTCGATTCATCCCTACAGTTATGGTAAGGTATTCTTCTTCAGCAGAACAGAGTTGAGGTTGCTGGTGAAATATTTAATTGGTCACCATGAACTGCGTTATCACTTAAACAAAATGGATCTGTCCGAAGAAATTGATTTTCGACTCTTCTTAGAAGGAGACGAAACTTGCAGTCACATTCTCTGTGACTGCCCAGCCTTGATTTGGGTCAGGAGGATGTCACTGGTTGGGAGCTGATACCCCGTTTATTCCTACCTTAACTATTATTAGTTAACAGAACAGAATTATATACAACATTTTTAAATAATAATTATCAAAGAAAAACTATTTACATTTTTTTAAAATATTTTTTATCAGCTTAATACATTATTAACATAACTATATATGCCTGACAAAATCTATAGCGTAGTTTTAATAAAATAGAATCTAAATATTGGCTAAGATTCTGTATATTTTAATTTTCTGTATATTGCACAAAAGGTAAAAATTATTTATAAAAATAGTTCGTTTCGTAGTGCAACTGTGAGGGCGCATCTTGAACATTACGGAAGCGCCTTATATATTTTTATTGTTTTTAACGACATTGTGAGGGCATGCGGCATGCGGCAGGCAGACAAGCAAAGAGGCAGTTAGTCAAATGGGGCTGGGCTGCTTTAGTGTAGATTTGCATTTCTCTATAGTCCATTTAAATATGTAACATTTGAAAATCCAATTGAGTTAGTCAGTTCAGTTCATAGACTTATTTTCATGCATTTCTCGATTATTTCGTATTTCGTCAGAAGTTTCACAACTAAATCGATTTGGCTTTTCCCATTTTACTATGAAGTTTCAATTGCTTTTTTCTGTTCTTGGTCTGTTTTTTATTGTTTTTTTTTTTAGTCTAAGTTAAGTATTGTAATGTTTCTTTTATTTAAATACAAAAACCAGAAATATTGCACAAGTTAGATACATTTTTATTTTTTTATTCTTAATGAACTTTAAAATGTGTGAAATATTTTTGCAGTATTTAAAAATCTGGTAAATGTTACCACATACTTAAGTAGTGCAATGTTGTCATATTAAACCAATATAATTTGTTTATATTAATTTCTCTTTATTAGAAACAATAGCAATTTCAAAATGCTTGTGATAAATTTTTTTGATTTCGAAATAAAACTGATTACAGATTTATTCCAATTTATTTACAAATTACAAATTTATTACTAAACTTAAAAATTTAATTATCAGTTTTTTTCTACAAAAACTGGGCTAGGTTTGTTTGAACTAGTTGGTACCAAGGTGTCATATGGGCGATGGAATTGGACTTTTATTAAAGACTATGAATATGTTTTGTAGTTGCAAAGGTGATCTGATTGCCTCCTCATTATTGTGAGCTCCTCCTAATTCGTAAATATATGTATTTTCAACAACTTTATTTATCATCATCATTTTGCTTCACAGTTTATACTGGCCTTTGACATACATAACAGTTCGACTCAATATAGGTGTTACACTTGCAAAATTAGTCCACTATTCAGTTTCAATCCTTTTGTTTCCAACCTGCTTCCCTTTCTTTTTTATGCTTTTATAAATATATATGTTCATAAGTTTTTCATTGTTAAGTCGGAATGCTCCGACTACATCTTCGATTCAGCTCTATGTTTTGGGACTAAAAAAATACCCGGCCTGTCAGATTCTCAATTTTGTCATACTATCGACTTCTATACTCTAAATTTTCATCTATTATTGAATTAATATCAAATCTACGTACGACGTTTCTTTTGAATCTTAATATGCTCTTCTTATCTTCTTATAAACTATACTCTTGTGAATAAGGAGTGTATTTCATATCAAAAAAAATTTCTGTTAAACTGAAATGTTTTCTTTTCAAATTTTATTGCCAAATTTTTTATAAAAATACTGAACCCCAAGTCAAGTTTGTAAGGTTAGTAAGGTAAAAGCGATTTTGGCTTTTCAAGACAACAAAAATCTGCAGAACAAAAATCTTGATACTGTTTTATCGTTCTTAAGAAATACTTACCAAATAAGTTTCCCTACAACAAAGAAGATCACTGACTTTGTAGTTAAAACTAAAAAAAATTTTCATATAAATTTTCAAATAAATTAATCCTAAAGCTATATGAATAATTGTTGAATGTACATATCAGTTATCTAATCTATTGATGAAACGAATTGCAAACTAAATCCTTATTGTATATTTTATATAAATAGACAAATAAGTGCTTTGAGCATTCCAAGAAATGGGTCTATTGTGATACAATAGAAACGTTTTAAAGTAAGCTTGAAATCTTTATTTTGAATTGCAAACCTGCCGAGTATTTTTGTCGAATAGACATTAATTGAAGCAGAAATCTATATTTTATAGATATCATCCGGCGAATGCCGAACAGTAACAGAACAGATAGACAATATTTTTCTCTTCCTTCTCTAACCAACAGTCTCTATACGGATGGTATATATAGTTTTATATAATAATTTATAATCTCAACAAAAGCTTGCCATAGAGTTTTCGCTGTATACTTGTGTATCTATAAATTTATTGCAAACATTTTGGAAAATACATATTAGAATATAAAATAAAATAAAAGTAATGTGCATTAAACTTTTTTAAAAATTTATCGAATGAAAGATCAGCTATAAAAATAAAAATAATATTTCTTATTCGTTCATTTTAAAAAAGTAAAACTACAAAATCGGTTGCCATTGTGGCTATAGTCACGCTGTGTAAAATATTTTCCACTGTCTTCAATTTTAAGATAATTTTTTTTTAATTGAAATGCGAATGCCCTATTGAGTAGCAAATTCATTTGCTCATATGCGTGCCAAACTACTTGCTGCAGTGCATCGGCTCTCCAACAGATAAAGTCAATCTGTAGCACAGATACGGCGTCGAACGCGTCTTTTTGTTGCAACTTCGGCTAAAGAAATTTACAGTCTATTTAAGATTCAATTAGGAAATGTCAAGATGTGACGTCATGTTGCAATATGTAACGTTTTGATTGCCTACATAAAGATTTAAGAGTTTCAATGAATTCGATTGTTCACAACAATTAATTTTACTTGAGACTGGCAGATTGAAAATTTTGTTGAAACTATAATTTTTATATTAAATATTTATGATAGACAACTGTGAAATGGGTGCAAAAGACGATAGTCCCATTTAACTTATACTATTAAAATAATTATTATTAATTCATAGCGAAAATTATAATGCTTTAAATATATTGAGTAATGAAATGCATATATAAGTAACATATTATGTGTAATATGAAATAGTTATGTAGACATTTTGTACATATGTGCATAAGTACTATAATCAAAAGATGCGGCTGCATATGCAAATAGATTTTGAAAATTCGATGATATCAGAAGCTGTACTATATATTGTATTATAGTACTTCTTCCATAATTTTTATAATCCAGGACTGTTCAAAGCACAGCCCGCGGGCCACATGCTAATGTTTGTGCGACCCTCGACATGAACGTATGTCCCCCTCTCTATACAGTGATATCTATTGGTCCGCGATCGCATCTGGTTTGAACAGCTCTGTTATAATCTGTTGCTCGCTCTGCTGGAACAGTTTGCATATTGATATAATATTGTTACATTTAGTTAAGAGTTTTTAACAGAGATTTCATTACTAAAGTATTAGTTTCACTCTTTAATCAGTTTACAAATTCAATTTGGTCTTATACAAAGCTGCAGAGATGGCCGGCCTTATGTTTCGATTGTACACACATTTCCAAGTGCCCACACTTCATTACGAACAACTAAGTTTTAACTAAATAACTAAGTTTCATAATTAAGCCTAAGTTTAAGTTTACAGCTTCAAAAGTTTATCTGAAAACGATCTGTGTAATTATATGTTAACAACTACATTTTATAGTTATAAGCATTCACTTAGTATAATTTTAATACTAGTATTAACTAATTGTTTATTAAGAACAATAATGATTAATTTTTTTAAAAAAAAAATGAAAAATAAAATAATAATGATATCATTAGTGCACTTATGCGAAGATATTTTATTTGGAATTTATAATTTATCTGTTTTTCCCTTACATTTTCCCAATACAAAAATCCCAGTTTATAGCTAAAATTGCATAGATAAATATAGAGTTTCAGCTTTAAATATGATTGCCACTATTTATTTAAGGTCAGTAACCACAAAGTTCAGTTGAAGTTCGGTTAGTTCAGACTACAGAAAATGTTGAGAAAAAATATATTACTATTTCTTTTATTTGTTATCTTGGGCATAACTGCTCGCGTTGGGCTTGCTGCACCACTTGTGGATACACGCTGGAATTATCCAAGAATTGGGCAACGTCAGTCAAGGTATCATCAACGAGGAAGTCCACCATTTGTTCCATATGTTCAGAAGACTTACTAAAAATGCTCAAGATTTTTTTGATTAATATATTCAACTGACTATTATGTTATATATAAATAAATAATTTTTCAAAAAGAAATATTAATTGAATTTATATAAATAATATATATTATAAATAAATTGTTATTTTATTTACAAGATACATTCAAGGTCAATCATCTAAATGTTGTTATATACCAAATAAACTTTTAAAAAGATCTATTCAACAATTTCTCCAAAATGTATCTTCAACATTTAGTACTGAAGTTGTACATGAAGTTGGTAGTTGGAAATTTATAGCTTCCTGCTTTTTGGTTAACGTTTCTTCAGCTACTTTATTTTTGACAATGGAGTTTCAATGGAGTGCAACATCCGCCCTATCCACACAAAGTTCAGATGCACTAAATCTTTATTAATCTTATAGTTTGTTTATAGTTTATTTTTATTGTCAACATTGTTGTATTTGTATTTAGTGCTCCATTCGCAATACTCAAAGACAGAGCTGCTTCCACACTTCTTTCTTTTTACTTTAAATTTATGATGCAAACTATAAGAAATTATGAGAAAATATTAAGTTATTTTTAAAAAAAAAAAACAAAAAAAATATGTTTTTCACTTTTAATTTTTGTTGTACGCGTATTTCTTCTCAATACTGGGTGTTATTTTTTTCAATTACAAATGTTCAGATAAGTTCTACAAGTTTTAGTTATGAACCTAAGATCTATCTGAATAAATAAAAATACGACTTCCTAGATGCTTCATTTAATTAATTGATTTTTATGAAGCTCCTTAGTTTGTTCAACTTTTTTCCACTAAATTGTATGTTGTTCCTGATATTTTGTGAAAAACATTCTGTATTAAATATGATAAGTAATATATATATATGTGTTGAGCCTTTTCCGAGTTAGTGCATCTGAGCACTTTTACTCTTTGATAACTGGGGATTTCTGCAGAGGCCCATCCATCTCTCTGACTAATTTGTGTATTCCTCATAAGCTTCTTGATTATTCAATGACTGATCTGAGATCTGTGTACCACCCCGTGCGGTTATTGATTACTCTGAGATTAGATAGTGCTAAGTAGAGCAGCCTATCGGTTTTCGCATATAGCTTTGTCCCTTATGTATTTTTTGACCGGATCTATTCTAATGTCGCTTAGCATGTCTTTCGTGTGGATGTACCATGGCACTTTGAAGAGTCTTCGGGGAGCCTGATTTGAGCAACTTGTAGCTTCTGAATAGTAGAGTCGACAGCTTTGCTATACGTGACACACTCTTAAAGTAGTGCTGGTCTAATTATTTGGCTGTAGATCAGCCACTTAATATATATTAAAAAAGTCAACGACTGACTTCATATGCAGACCTGGTTGCTTTAAGCTCAATTAATAATTATATTATCCTTTTGTCTATTAATTATAAACAAAATAATTATTCATTTTATATACATAAGTTCAAGTGATGAAGATAATCACTAATGATCATCCTTTTTGCATACACCTTGTTGAAATTGATGTGTTTCCGTCTCATATTATACCATGTGTTTTTCTTCTATAATTCCTTTTGTCTTTAAAATATAAAATAATAATAAAAATACAATTAACAACAGTCATAAGGAAAAGTCTGTGTATAAACATTTTCAATATTAAAATGCCAAAAGAAATTAAAAGAGCTATTAAGATTGTAGCAAATAAAGCAAAGCTTTCTGTAGAAACCCTCTTATAAATTATCTTCAATGTTTAAATGCTATGGGTTGTAATCCAAAACTAATTGAGTACAATATATTTTCTAAAAGTCAGTTATCGTGCGAAAAACATTATATGGTATCGAAATGGATGATAACTCTACAAACTGATATCAACAGCTTCGGTTTAAACTATTGTTAATTATAATTGTAAAGTTGAAATTAAAAATTTTATATAAAAGCATATCAATAAAATATTTTAACTACTCTAGATATAATTAAAAGCATTTTTTAAAAGTGTGAAAGAAATTGGAATAATATGATACGCTCTTCATAACTTTGAATATAACTAAGCGGAAAATTCATGTTTTGTTACAGAGTTTCTTCTTTGCATTCCATTTAAATGAAATGCATAAATCCGTGAATAACTGAAAGTTCTCAAATGCTTATTATTATTATTTTTATTTTTATTGATATAAAATTATTAAAAATAATAAATCCAATAAAGATTGCTCTATTTTCAAGCCTTTCATTTATGACCAATTAATAACTGAAATAATCCAATTTTAATTGTTTTCCATATGAAGTTCCATGCGCGTTCAAGAACTCACAACGAGTGCAGAATATATAAAGTGAACACCATCGAGAAGTGACTCCCACTAAAGAAAGACTAGAAAAGAAGCATAGCAGGCAAGCAGGCAGGCAGGCAGGCAAAATAAATAATTTTTGAATGGAGCTGCCAACGAATACAAACAGACAGACAAACTGACAACAAAATAACAACGGAACAGTAGCAAACAGTGCCGCCGCAGCACATATGTTGAAGCATAGCGAGCTGCGTTGAAGAATTGTTGGAGCACCAGAGATTTGGTATAAAGTGGAGCAGCGATTTCAGTTTACAATCGACCGTCGCACGATGAAGATAACAAACGACAAGCGGTGTGAACGCGTTTTATAAGACTTTGGCGTGAAAGAGATTTTGAACTATTTCTTATGAAATATGTTGGGCTGAAAAGCCAAAATTTTAATGGTGTTCAAAAAAAATCATGTTATAAAATAATAAATAATTTTTTAATTTAAAAGAAATTAACAATATTTTGTTAAAAATGAGTAAGAAAATGTGGAATAAGATTTTCAAATCGAAATCATCCAAAAGTGCTAAGATACCCGCCAGCGTTTCAAGTAATACGGATATAAATTATAAACGTTGCAGCATTTATGAAGAGTATCAGCAATTAAATGGTTTAGTGAATAGTGAAAAAAGCGCACATAACTTAAAAAAATTTAAAGAAAATAAACCCCAAACGAACGAAAATATAATTGCTGCAGTAACCGCAGTGAAAAATGATCAAACCAAAAATGATGTGATTGCACCTTCAATTGCAATTGTCGCTGGCAACACTTTTTTGCAAAGTGTTGAAACAGTGCCCGGTTCCAATCCGAAGCAGCAGTCAACATTCGCAAAAGTTGTCAATACTCTTACGCTTAAGCGCAGCACTCAACAGCAAAAAGATTCAAAATCGTCCAAAGCCCGAGGCAACGGCAACAACAGCAGCAATTGCAATGAAAACGGAAGTGCAACATTAAAAAAAAACAAAACAAAAGAACGATCAACTTCTAAAAATAATAAAAAAAGTGAGTCTACGAATATTGCTACTGTGCCGCCTCCATTGCATGCATCCACTCATTCATTGATATCAACCTGCTCCAGACGTTCTTCACAATATATAATTGTTGTTAGCAAAATTGTTTGTGATGCTCCAAATGCATTCAATGACGATAGCAATGTTGCCGCTTATACAAAAGTCGCTGTCAATGATATTGCAAAACATGCGCGATCGCCCGTAACATGTTGCAATGTTGCTAACTTGACTAACACCAACAAATGCCTGCATGTTTCAAAACGTAAAATAACAATTCATTCCCTTTACTTTATTTAGATTTTGATTTTTGTATTTCTGATTAATGCATCTGCTCACTTAACTTACTAACTCCAACATGAACATACTCGTATTTCGATTTTTTCTAATTTTTTCTTCATCGTATATATCAGATTCCATAAAATTCAAAAGTTGTTAGTAGTGCCGCACCATTGCATCGCGATCAAATAGCAATTTTCACATCTACTATATATGTTATAGAGTATATTCGTATATGAGTATATGGTGACGATTGATTGATTCCAATTGGCATCAAGAATATGATTTAATTTTTAGTTTGAATGGTTAGTTAAGTTTAATTGGTCAGTATTAAAAGATAAGGTCTTTTCTGTTTTCCCTTTATAAGGGTACTCTGCGTCTTGAGTATGGAAAACCTTTTATATTGACACTTATCTCTGTAGTTAACTATTTTCAATACTCTGTCCTTGACACACAATTCAAAGGTGTCAATTCTATGAGTTTATCTATCATTCTAAAATATCATGAACCTTTTAGAATTTATTTCAGCACATATATATAGATATAATATAAGCATATATAGTATATATATATAGTTAATAAATATATGTATTATTTATAATATAAATACATGTATATAATATATTATATACTACTGTATAATATATTATATATTAAATATATCAATCTTTTCGCTTAAACCTAAAAAAAGTTCCAATTTAAGAAAAATAAAAAAAAGTTCCATAAAGCTACAGTTCTAATAGTTGTAATACAAAAAAAAATATATATATATATGTATATGTGCATATATATATGTTTTAAATTTTGTTATTGTTGTGTCGTTCCTTTCAAACGAAATTACCACAGCACTGCAACCATAATATTCAGCACTACTTTTTTACCGTTGAAGACTGACTCCAAGATGTAGACACGACCGCTTATTTTATTATTATTATTACTGCTAGGATCACAAAATTTATTTTACTCCATTCATGTATTTAGAATGATCGTTACAGACCTACTTTCTTAATAAAATATAGTAGTTGTCCTATTTAACCTAAAATAGATATCTGCAGGAGGTGCTAGTTAGGTCGAGCAACATTAGTACCTTTTCGTAATAGCGGTTTTGAGATTCTTATTAGGTTTGCTTCTTAACGTCACAGAAATATAAAAAAAAATAATGTTTAGTTTTATTTAAGTCTATTTAAGTACTCGTATATTTAATTATATTTTTAAGATTTAACAATGTTTGAAGAGTTGTGGGGTTATGTGAACTTCAACATTTATTAGAGAGAATGCAATCATTTCTTCGAGGACCTGACTCGTAGTGTAATCCTAACCAAATGAAAGAAGCCTTATTTAAAAACGGAGGAAATTAGCTATTGAGGATGGTTTCAAGATTTATACCAACTGTGGGAATAATTGAACTGATAGACGACCAAATGAGGTGTAGTGATTTAGTTTAAAGATATGTACGTAGTGTGAATATGCGAAGTGTTAGGAACATGGGAATAGGGTATTAATTCTACATATGGACTAGTCCCTTATCTTAACATCTACCTCTTTGAACAATAAACACAATATAATTTGCATATTTGCCTTTACTAAACCCTTGTTTATTAATGAGCATATGTTTTATATATGTATATGTTTCAATATATATATATATATGAAATTAAATATTTATTTGAATTTGTTTCAAAAGATTTAAAATAAATTTTAATCATTTTATAAACAAAGCAATTGCTAATTATTAAATTTATTATGTTTGTGCTGATAATGAATGATCTTAGACCATTTTAAAAAATGATAACATTATTATTTATTATTCGTATATATTATATTTGAATACCGGGTGCAGTTATTTGTTACCTGAGGCCTGGATGTAGTTTCTTTATTTATTTGATTTCTTCTTAAAGAAAAGTATATATAATATAATATATAGCTTTTAAAGCCCCCATTAAGGAAAAATGGTGGAACAATTATGATAAGTAAATTATTTTAAAATAGGGAAATTGATTAAATTATGTGTTTAATGTTATATATTTAATGAGGTTAGGTTTTTATTTCACAACTATATATAAAAAGTTTAGTATAAAATTATTTTTATTTATACTTTACAGTTTTAAAATTGTAAGTTAGTAATTTTGGCGCTGTTTCCTTTATTCCCCATTTGTAGTGCTTTTGACCAACTAATAGTATTTTTTAATGTAAATATTTAAACCAAGTTAAGCACAATTGCATGCGTGATTTAAATAAGCAGATTTTACGATAACTTAAATTAAATTTAAATTAAGTTTTTGTTTTCAATTTGGGGAAACATAAAAATATCTACAACTTAGCAATGATTGTAATGAGACCCTTTCAGTTTTTAACTTTATTGCTTTTGTTTCTCTTCTGTCACGGTTTCCTGAGTAATTAAAATCAGGAAGCGATTCCTGATAATTAGTGGATAGTAAATAAACATTTCGTTTTGGAAACCAACATATTATTTTAATTATAAATCGAAACTTAGTATATAAAATCAAGAATTAATTACTTCTTCTGGTACATTTTTTGCCATTAATCATTGACAAGTTAAAACCGTTCAAGCACTATTTTAATAAAGTAAGAAACCATAAAGTAAGAAACTTGCAAAAATTTTACAAATATACATTTTTTTTATTTATTCATTTTTAAAAAAATTAAATTGGTTCAAACTTTTATCGTGTGAATAACCTAATGGGTTTTAATGCAATTTTATCACTTTGATGGACTATGATGGGACAAGTTACTTAATCTTCATTGAATAAGTCAATTAAAAAATGCAGAAAGAAAAGCAACAAACGTAGACAACCCTAATCGGTACACTACAAAAAATCTTGTATATAAATTAGACAAAGTATCTAGAAATGAAATATTTATTAATTATTTGATTGTGTATCTCACAAGAAAAATAAAAATTAATTTGCATAAATAACAGCTTACAATTTATTAAATTGTAATCGCAATTAGGAACTTCAAGAAGCTGTCAAATATAATAATTTTGACAGTTTATTGATTTCTAAGTATTTTGTTATTTTTTTTCAAAGTGGGCGTTCTAATAATGTTTAATTTTTTAACAAAAAAAATACTTCAAACTCAAATATTTAAAAAAAAAGATAAATGGAATTGTAAGAATACAAGACAACAAAGGTGTTGAAGAGGTAAAGCCGCCTTTGTAATTAATTTTAAGAAATATCATTACAAAAAATCGAAAATAAAAAAAATTCAAAATAAAAACGATGAGTAGAAAGCAGTTATTATTAACTGTTGAATTTTAATTTATTTGATATTGTTGTACATTATTTTTTATTTTATTACATAGAAGCAGAAGAACCGTTCACTTAACTACTAACACAATATACTAAAAAATAATAACATTCATAACCAAATCCAATCCTAGAAACATATTTAACATGGAGCTGCTTGCTTACGATTCCAAAAAGCTCCGTTTATTATTGTATTTATTGTATTGAATTATACAATTAAAGAAAAATCAATAAATATATATATAAGCATATATATTTAACCAAAATATTGTATTAGACAGATATTATATTAGACAGATCGATTATCGCGCCTTTGTGGGTAACCATTGAGCACTCCTCAAAAATAAGAGCGACCGTCTGCTCCGAGTGATCAAAAAGACAATTAAGATCGGTTTTTAGGTCACAATTCGTTATTGTTACATATGGATATTTTATTTAAATTGAGATATCTATGCCCACCATGGTCAGCTGTGATAGAGTGGATGGGTATCTTATGAGAATAGTGAACTAAATTTTCCAGAGCTGTTCCAGCTATTAATCTGCATTTTATTTATAAATCTCTATATAACCGATTTACAAAACAATATAGTTTTGACTCTATTTATTACAATAGAATGTACTACTCAAACATGACGTTGTTGTACTATTTTTTTTCCTTTGTTAACCGATCGCGAATATCTCAGATTTTTTCCATATTCTCTAAACCTACAGCACGTTGTTCTGGTATTTCTTTCGCTGTGTTTGTTGTTTGGGGAACTCTCCCGATTTCATTTGCTGCACCATTTATAGTGTGTATAGGGAACAAATATTAGTATAATAAGTGAAATTTTTATTAAGTATATATTATACAAATGCTTATAGTTATATAAACATATTTATTTCAACATTTATGATTTATGATTGCGTCCGTTTAATAGAGTTTTCACTGTGTATGTTAAATAATTTAAAAACGTCAAGAGGCTCACAAAGCTACAGTTCATGTTTTTTTTTTGTTTTTTTGTTAATTATGGACTACATTTTGCGGTACTAGTTTTGTTTATGTGAAGTTTATAGTTCGTTGTTTTTTCCGTGGTCTTCTAAAATTAAGAAATATTAAACATAATTTAATTTGCCACAAAAACATTAAAAAAATTCTTTGCTTGAAATAAGCACATAAAGCTGCAAAACTTACAACATAATCATTAATTAAAGTTACAGTCGCCACACTTGTGTTTCCAAATTTAGTCTTCCATGCAGATGTTCTTAACATTTTTGCGAGCACGAATATCTTTAAGATACTTGTTAGCTCTTCAAATTTGTTCACACGTTTCGTAGCAAGAAATTATTGTTATGAAATATAGTTTTAAGGTTTTATTTCATTTGAATCAGATATAAAATAATTTAGGTTATCTATAATCTTACTGAAGTTTTATATCTACGAGTACATACATCTTTTAATTTATTTAATTATAGACGTGTTTACTTTAAAACCGTACTTTTTGCATATTATTTATTATACCGTAGACTTTATATGTTATCGTTTAACCAGTTTTAATATAGTTTTACAAATGCTTAGAGTGTCGAATCTAGAAACTTTGCTTCATGGAAAAATTTGTTGAAATTGCAGTTGAGTTTAATAACAAAAATGCGATTAAAGTTGTATTTTAACTGAAATTCCCACAGAAGCCATAGCAATACTTATTGGACTTTATATAATCTGAAAAAGGGCTATCTAACAGGGACGTAAAGATTCTGAATGAAGTGTGGAATTCTGCATGCCTTAAGGTCTTTGATAAGATGAATAGAATACTAGCTTTTTCTAGCAAATTCGAGGTGGTCATGGGTGACCGATAAACTTGGAGATATAACGAAATTATCTTAAAACAGGGTTCACACTTTGGTATACTAATGGGTCCAAAATGGAAAACCCATCTGTGCAGAAACAGGAATGTAGGGCCGAATTGCGAAAAGCAATCGCAATGAGAAAAACAGCTTCCTTTTTTCAAACAGAGATAGATCCATGCCTTAGAGCTGTGTGCGAGAGAGTGCCTACGCAGGGGTACCCGAGGTACCAAAATATGCATTCTTTCGGACAGCCAAGCACCTCTAAAATCATTAGCAAACTCTTCATTCCAATCAAAGTTGGTGTGGGAATGCTTTTAACTTCTCAATACTCTGGCATCGAGGAAAACCTGGTATCAACCACTCCGTGTAATCTCCAAGGAGATTATAAACCAATGTATTGCATTTATACATCACAAAAAAAAACTGTTTTAGCCATCATTATAAGTATGATTTGTATATTTTTAAATATTAAAATCCTCAAACCACATTTTAATGATTAGAATTTGTTTTTTTTTAATTCAATAAAAATACTTAAAGTTCTAGACAATAAAGTTAAAAAGTTTTAATTATTTAAAGAATAATTATTTAGAATATTAGAATAGAATATTAAACACTACCGCTTAGATTAGCTTATCTTTTTTAATATAAATTTTTTATTTTTATTTGTATGTTAGATGTATATAATATTTATTCACATAAATAAATTTTCAAATAAATTCAAAAAAATTAATAATAAATAAATGTCCCTGAATATTGATTGAACTGCATAAGATAATTTGTAATTATAAAAAAAACTGCGATTTTATGATTAGTAAAAATGAGCTGACTTATACTTTTTCTGTAAAAATCTAAAACTAGAAAAACACATTAAATGATGTATCTAAGCAGTTTTCGGCCCATTGAAATTATATTTGAGAGACTGTCAGCTTAGAAAGCAAACATGAAAATGTAATTAGCTAAAGTTAGTCATGCAACTTCAAAAATATCTATCTTTCCTTGAAGATTTTGCAAATACATATTCTGACTCATATCTTTCGTGGTTGCAACTGAATTTAAAAATATATAAAAAATATGCTATATGAAAAAAAATTACTGCATTTCGGTTAAAGCGATCTACATATACCTATATGTGTAAATATAAGAATGTATATATCTTAAAATCAATCTATTTATAAAGGCAGAAAGTGAAGTTTATTACTTGCACGATTGCAAAGGAAAATGTTTAACCAAAAATTTGTAAAGATCAAGAAATGAATTTTTATAAACCGCAATCTACTTAGATACTTTTTTTAGTAAATTATTCATAAAATTTTATATATTTCTATTTTATTTAAAAAATTAAGTTAATAAATTTTTAAAAGAAAATCTCAATAAAATATGTATTTGCGTATTTATCTCTATGACCTTTAAGTCGAATAAATTGATTTAAAGGCAGAACAGAGAATAACTTTAATTAATTGAAACTCTTTGAATCTTCTTTTACGAAGACAAACAATAAGTTAGAAAAATTTAAAGTTACTTGCTTCTGAATAATGTATTACACCATATACAAGCAACTATATACATAATTTTACTTTGATGACCTTATCTAAGATGTCATGCTATGGCGTGATGGACCAAGAGAACAGAGATGAAATGGTTCTAGTTTGAAGTTTAAGAAGAGTTTACCATTTAGTCTTCCAACCTCTTTTATTACCGCTCAATTGACTTCGTGGTAGCTCCAGCATTTTTCATATGGAACTCGATAGTAGATAGGGGATGCTATAGTCATCTTGTTCACGACACTAGTAGTATTTAAACCAGCACTGATACTATCGCTTAAGTTAAAAGTACTGAACTCAAGTGCAGAACAGCAGCGTTAGAAGTATTACAGAACTTGTGCCCATTTCACAAAGTGGTGCAAAATTTGGCTCAAGCAACTATAACAAAGTGTGAAGCAAAAAGATGAGAACCTGGAATTTCTAAAGAATATAGGAACTTAAAAAATCCATCACTTCTTAACAGTACTAGAGATAAACACTTTGTAGAGAGCACAAATAGAAGATACTATCATATGATATACTGATCTATCAAAAACAAATTGTCAGTCAAATATGCAGAATCCATTAGAAATCGGTCTTAAGCAATGTTTATTTATATATGTTTAAAAAATTTTTATAGAATAATATGATCACAAATAGCAGCATTACATTTAAAATAATAAAAAAACAAATAAACATTGACAAATTCTAAACTTTACATTTAATAAAAATTATAAATAAAAAAACTGACAATCGAACTTAATTCGTATTTATATTTTTTACAGAAAATATCAAAATAACGGAGCCAACAGAACAACCTGATCCCGATACCAGCGATGAGCTGTTTCCTTGTCCAATTTGTAATCGGACTTTCCATCCTTTGATATTTGAAAAACATGCGAGCATCTGCGAACGTACTGCGAAAAAAAAGCGACAACCTTTCGATTCTAAACGACAAAGAACAGAGGGAACTGATCTAGCAAACTATAATCCGCCCCGATTACCTGGTGCACGTGTGAGTCATACGTTGTTGTCTCCAAGACTAACTACGGTAAATAGGATAACAAATTATCAATCATTTTTGAGTTATCTTTAAGTCTCTTTAAATATTTACAGCGAAAGCAGCTGCAAAATACTGAGTCACCAACTGTTACCACAATAGCAAGTGCCGCTCCAAAAGTATCACGTAATATATCCACTACGTCAGCATCAGGGTCAAGTAGTAACACACCACTATATCAGAGATCTGTTTCGGAGTCATCAAAACGTCCTATGATACCACCAGAAGAGCATTGTCCATACTGCGGACGAACATTTTGTCGCAAAGCTTTTGATACCCATGTTGGCTACTGCAAGACAAAATTATTGAGAGATGCGAATAAGCCAGTTGATCCTAGTAAAGAAGTACTAAGGGAACGCATGGAAATGCGTCAGAAATTTGTACCACCATTATTGAAGTAAGCCATAGAGCATTTAGTTTTATATTAGATATGTTTTTTTATTATACAAAACTTAATATATAATTTCAAGTAGAAGCAAACGTTACCTTAATCGCGTAAAATACTCAGCAGCTGAGGCAGTTGAGGCTCGCGAGGCCGCCAAAAATCAGAGTAAAAATGAAAGTACAATTTCTGTTGTGGATAAAGAACTTAACTCGAAGACACCATTGGCTAAACACCATGATAGCTATAATGAAAGTGTAAATAATAATAATATAGCAAGTCTCAACAGCACCAACAGCAGAAAAACTACAAATGATGGCAATAGTTTAATTACATCAAACGATAAAATTGGCATAATGTCATTATCAATGACTTCATCTCTAACAAGTAACAGGTAAATTATTAGCAAATTAAGAGTAAATTTATTTAATTTTCTTAATTATTTAAATTCACTTAAATTGTTATAAAATGATTTGAGAGCGTTTAAATGACATTAAAATAATATAAATTGTTTTAATATTGTGTTAATAACATATTAAAGTAAATGAAATGAAATGAAAGTTAATCTATTGATTAACAAGTTTTTTAACATTTTGAAAGTTAAACTTTCCATGATTTAATAATTATTTTATTGAAATAATTATTTATATTTGTATACGATCTTCGGTTATATTTAAAAATACATATTAAAAATATTCTAATTATTTTTTAAATTGTTAAAGACTGTTTGTTCTATTTTAATGTTATAAAAAGCATAAACTATATTTATAATATAATTATACCATGTTCCAATTTCATTAACCATACAAATAGCTTCCATGCTTTTTAACTTACTTAAAAATAAAGTAAGGAAAATTAGACCAAAAATGTAGACAATAACACTTAAAAATAAATTTCCCACAAAGGAAATTTCGTATCTTTAGTTGCAAAAAATTTGTCATATATTTGATATGTACAATGTAAACAAGCAATAGCTGAGCTGTAAACTAACATACTGAGAAAATGAGTATTTAATAAAATGTTTATTTTTATTAATCAAATACCATACATAATAGATTTATTAAATATATATAAAGAAATGATTTAATATATCAATTATATATTTAATTTTCCTCTCTTAAAACTTTCAAAGAATTTTCTGACAAACTTATTTTCCATGAAGTAAGTAACTTATGTCAATTGAAACAACAAAATCATAAAGTTACTTAAGTAACTTACTAAATAATCAGTGGAAACATTGTATAACATGGTATATTAAATTAATAATAATAATATATATAGTAGAAAAAGTCTACATATAAAATTTATTTTAAATTCCGCACTACTACAAATTTAAAATAACCGACAAACGTTTAGAAACGCTCTACAATCATTTTATAGCTTCTTTCTTCAATTAGTCTATTCATTGCGATACTGTCTTCTTATATTTATATATATAACAAGTGATAAAGATACTGATATAACAAGTATAATGATACTGTATTCTAATATTTACTATTGTGTATTACAAAATATAAAGATTAAAGTTTTAGACATTAAATAATTAGTACTTTATACAAAGTACTAATTGTGCCAAATTAGGCACAATCTTTTATGACTTGAAATTAATTAATAAATAAATATTTTTCAACATCGATACAGCAATTCAAGAGATTATGAAGATTTCAACGATGATACCATAAAGAAATTACGTAAGGAAATCGAAAATGAAACCGGTATATGCTTACCGGATAACATACATCCAGTGTTTGATGAGAAACCCAAGCATATGAATACCGAGTTAGTGCTTATTTCCGAGGATATGTTAAGAAGCAGTGAAAAAATTTGTAGCGACGAAGGTATTCTACTTTAATCTATATTTCGTATCTTTAGTTGCATCTTGTAGTTTTGCATTCTTAATTTGTATCTATAGTTGAAAGTACGTTAAAGAATTAACGGAACTCATATGTAACTTATGGGTTCTATAGAGATATTTCCATATTTTCATATTTCTGCACTTTAGTTTTATTTCAAGTTCATGTTTGTTGTATTTATTTTCTTTCTTCTGGTCTTAATGTCTATTAATTTCCGTTATAATAGCGTGAATTCCACATAATTATGCGGTTGCATGAAGTTATGGCCTCAAGTAAAATACTTACATGTGCGCAACACGCTTGACTTCGTCCCCTAATGTGCACCGAAAATAAATTAATTAAATAATTATAATTGTGCATTGCACTGCAGTAAATAGGAAAAGAAGAGGTGGTGCAGAAAAGTAAAGCAAAATCCAAGTTCAAATAATAATTTTCTTAAGTTCTAAGCAGTTTATCTGAAACCATTAGCAACGCTAACTAAATTTAATTATAATGTGCCATCACAACCGTCTCTTAAGAAATTGCACAACGCAGAAGCACAAGTCAAAAATATTTTTGCATCGAGACTGCTTATTTTAAGGTTAGTTTACCGAACTCTTAAAGGAATCTTCCCATTCTAATTTAATTCGATTTTTATAATTTGAACTAACTAACCTTTTTTAAAATGGTGTCTTAAAGTAATCACTAATCAGTTAATGCTTTACAGAAGATATTTTGGTCTTTATTAAGCAAAAAGAATTCAATCTCTTTGGTTAAGAATTGTTTTGCAATGCAAGAGATCTTTTAGGATTGCAATGCATCAATTATATGCTCTTACAGATATGTCTTGCAAACAAAAGTTCTGTTAATTTCGTTAATCGAAGGTCTTTCCTATACAACTTATCCACACATCTTTTAGCAATTATAAGTCGGTATATTTTTATGTATTATAAAATATAATCAACAAATATTACTTATGACTATTACTATGACTGCATTGGGTTTCTTATCTTCTAATTAGTTTTTGGTGACTGAATAAATACTCTTTACAAACAGTAAAGAGTTCAACAAAAACTAGTTGATAAAATTTAGCGTGGTTTAAGTATGATTTAACAAGAATTAAGGATATTTTTCAAATTATTAATTATCGTATAGCAGCTTGTAATAATTGAACTTAACCCGTATGCTCACAGTGATGAACCCTATCTAATGCCGTCTTGTTTTAATTATATCTGGAAGTCATATGTTTTTATGATTTGATATACCTTTCCGAAATATTTTTAAATTATTGAACAAAGTTCTACACTCTACGAATCACTTTTAGGAATAATAGAAATAAACAGGGTATCGTTTCCTAATGGAGTGGAGCTCCGCGACCAAAGTTGATCTTTTGTGCTGATCACTTTTAGGAAACTAGAATATTAATTTTAAATTAATGGCAACAAACACCCGAAGTATACGGCGGAAGGATTTTGAAATTAATAATAAAATTTCACACTTTTTTGTCTCATTTATAAAAATTTTTCCTTTTTTTAATTGATATAATTGTTAATTGATATCGCATTTGTTTTTTTGTAACACTTGTTAGTATTAATTCACGTGAAATAAGCAAAATAAAATTGTAATAGAAGTTTTTATTTAGTTAATGTTACGAAAATTTTTACTCTTACTTTAATTTCTTTAAAAAATGCATAGAATTATTGGCTAAAGTTCTTTCAATTGATAAAAACTCAAACTCGATGGCTGAAGAATATTGTGAAGATAGAGGAGCACAAAAAAAATCTTCAGCAAGAAAGTCGTTACCTGATAAGAGCTTGTCAAATACTGATACATTAGAAGAAAATGCAAACCTTTTATCGGAGATTGAATTTTGTGATGAACAATTTAGCGATGACGAAGATTCTATATCATTTGAAGTTCCCCCGCTTGATTTAGAGAAGAGTACTACGCCAAGATTAAGTAAATTTAATGAAAAATTAACTGAAAGAACTGATTTTAAAAATTCAACTCCTAAATCTCATTTAATGCAAAAACATTTTAATACCGCAGAAACTTTAAATGGTTCCAATATATCTGATAACAACAGATATGTGTCACCCAGAGCTGCTGCTTATAATGAGAAACCATTGAATTCAATAATAACACTTGATCCATTTAAAAACTTAACGCCGAGATCTGTTGCTCTATCAAAACTGAATAAATCGATAGAGACTCTGGAGTCGATCGAAATTCAAAATAGATCAATTGCGCATGGATACAAAGACGATATAAAAACTGTCAGTTCGTTGAGCAAACAAAATTTATTAGAGATTAACATTTCTCCTTTTAATAAAAATTCTACATCCAATGAATTGCAAAAATATGAAAACAATAAGCTTATGATTAACGCAGCTTCGTCGACTAAACAAAATTTAATAAATCCATCAAATATTAATAAAAGATATCCGCATCAAAATAGAGGTTTATGTATTTCACCCACACACTTATCTTCTGACTCAAATATCAAAAATAATTTATCGATAATTGAAGAAGAAATAGATCAAAAATTATTGCCAATCAACACTTTAAAAACCGAACATTCATTTTATAAGAAAAACAATTTCAACACTTTTGAAGAGGACTCAATGCTAGCTATCGTTGCCAATTCTGTTAAACTCAATTCTCGTAAACCGAAAGTTGCATCTAGAACTGAAAACGTTGACCAAACCCCTAAAGAACACCCAATGAATCAAACTCCATGTAAGATGAATTTAAATAGAAACTTAAATAATGCAACAAAGTTAACAAAAAGCGAAGAAAATTTACTTAACATCATGCCTACAAGGATAAGACTATCCAATACTTGTTCAAAATCTGAAATAAGTGAAAAGAAAAAAGCAGTCACACCAATACCTGCGCCAAGAAGAAAAGTTTGCAGAGCGCCAATTGAAGAAATGAAAACTTTTTTAGCCACCTTACCCTCAACATCTCAAAAATGTGACAATCATGAGCAATACCCGCACAACGACCGCATTATTCCAACACTAAAATTGGAAGCACTTGATATGCGACAACCACAACGAAGGAAAAAATCGCTCCGACCGAATAGATCTTCAAGTGTAACACCAATGAAAGCACTTCCGTTTCGAATAGAACACAATAATAACATACAGTCATCAAAAATCAATGAACAAAAAATGAAATTCAATCGAACTTGTTCTATGAGGTTTGTATATAGTCATTAGAATTTATAAAAAAAAAAAGGACAGTATCGCAAAAATATTACTGAACAGTACATTAGACTGGCTATATAGTTGTTTGGTTCCTTTCTTGTTTCAAATTTTTTTATTATCGAAATTTAATTTATTTTTAAAACATATACATATAGGTAATATATTTTTTTTGAAAGTATGATCACATTTGTAAAACTTTGTATGTATTTTTAGTGGTCTTCCCGACTATGATCCATTTCTCTCTGCTAAGCGACAACTTGAAGAGCTTTATTCTCCAACAGGCATTACAGAAACATTTGATACAGCAATGTCTAACATTACAAATATGTCTGATTCCACACCACAACCGACATCATCAACTCCCAGTACTCCTTCCATATCAATACCTACACAATCCAAAATGAGCACTTCTCTTACATTAAGCACATCCACACCAAACTCTAGTCCAATTTCAACAGCTATGAACAACAATCAAAAACGCACTTCAAAATGTACAACTCCGAACATATCCAACTTTAGACGTAGTTCATCACTACGTGGTCCACGTCGTACTCCAACTTTACCACCACGACCGTTGTTTTCATACAATTATAGACCAACCATACAACGTGGACTTTCAGATGAAGGGCCTATTTCAACAAATTTTCTTAAATCAGAAGAATATGATGAAATGCCAGTACGTTCCAATTGCGTTAACGATTTTGCCATCACAAATAGTCCACGTGTTGTACGCCGCGATACCAGTGCTTCTAATCGCAAACATAATCTAAAACTTAATATAAATGCAGCCAATCTGTCAGCTGAAAATAGTAGTGACGACCGGTTGTCAAGTGCATCCAAATATATATCTAAAACCGACTCTTTGGCTGTATTTCTTAAATACGAAAATGAACTTGAAAAGCTTAATGCAGCAGCTGCAGCAACTGCAGCAGCTAAAACTACTACTACTTTACCTAATAAAACACCCGATATTGCTAAATTATCAACACAACAAAGCTGCACCGACAGCACTTCCGCACAAAATATTCAGCCTAGCAGCCCAGTGATAACAAAAGAACTTAAAGACAAAAGCAATATACTTAGTAAGCAAAATTCAGTGAAAAGTATTAAGGTTGATTCCAAAAACACATCTAATGATGCTAAACCAGAATCACAAAAAACTAAAACACACCTACCAACTCCTGTTGGAATTCTACCTTCAAATAACTCCACTAAATCTTTATTGAGTAAAAAAGTTAACGACAATATAAGTCAAAAGAACAATAATAACAAACTTTCTCAAATACGTCTCGAACCTATTTCAAAGCCTGCTACACCACTTACAAAACCCCACACACCAAAAACAAAGCCGAACACCCCTCTAATTTCTCAAAACTCTACGAATATGTTGACACAACTGCCTGCGGTTAACAAACCTATTAATCTGAATGAAATCTTCGGTGAACCAAAAATAAAAGCTAAGAGTATCTGCAAAGATCGAAAAATTTCAAACAGCTCTGAGTATATCGACCCGAAATTAATTAATAAATGTGATAATCTTCCGGTTAATTTTAGTGATATATGTTCATATAAACATTTTGATTCTGATAGTTCTACGCAGCGCACAGATTCTTCAGCGTCCTCAACTTCCGGAAACGCGCCTATTTCGCAATTAACAAAAGCGTTGCCACTTGCAAAAATAGATAGTACAAAAGGTATAACTGCTTTGAAAAGCACAGCTCCTATAGCTATACAATCAACTAGTTCAACACCGAATGCACTAAGTAATCAACGAAATTCCATTGATGCACGTACAGGACAGCTTAAGCGTAAAATGCGTTTAGGGTTAAATCATTTCCTGTACGATGCCTCTCCAGAAGCGGATGACTCTTGCTTAGCAGATGATGAAGCAAACCGTTCCTCCACGGAATATAGTAATCAACAGAAGCAACATCAATCACGTCGAAATTTTACTCCACGTTCCAATGCAGAACAACAAAAGGATCTACCAACCAATTTAACACCCTTGCCGATTTTTGATGATTTTGATTTTGAGGAATTTCTTTCATCATTTGAGAATGATGAAGAACAATTTCCTCTGTTCAAAGATTGTAGAGAGTTTCTAATGAATCGCACGTCGAAACAGCGTTCGACGCTTACGCCGAATTCATATACCAACAATAACAACAACAGTTCCAACAAAAATAGCAATAGTAACAGTAACAGTAACAGTGACAGCAACAGAACACTAACACAAGAACCATCAACGAAACCCAACAATAATATATTTAATTCCAATATGAATTCACCATTCCTTACACAAACACAACACTTTCAGTTTCCCACTTTATTAGCTAAAACCAACAATATAAGTTCCCAGCATTTATTAACCTGCACTCCCTCCCTTAAAACCAACAGCAATGATGATAAACGTGAGATATTCATTAGTATTGAGACTGAACAGAATGAAATGGGCCGTTCATCGATTTCACCAGACACCATACGAAATATGATGGGTCACAATCAATCTGTGGTGGAAATTGAAGTGGATCCACCAGATAATAAATTTAGCAAAATAAGTGATGACGAGTCCTTACCGATTGGAAGTTTAGGACAGTTACCAAATGTGCAATTCAATAATGCAAAGAATTTAATGCAAAAAATGCAAGAAAATTTCAGGCAGAGAAGTGAAGAGGTCAGTACAGGCGTAAGGCAAGCCTATAATCACAATGCGACACCCGGTAATAGTGGTGAGAGACGTGCAAATAGTCATATTAGTGGTGATACATATAACGATTCCGATGAAATGAGTAGTTTGGACAACTATCCATTACCAAGGCAAACACGTCGAGGAGCTGGCACAAAACTGAGCGCAGACTCTGCATATGGGAGGTAAGTTAAAAGATAATTGAATTTTGAATTTTTCTTTCTGTTTTATTGCTTTTCTTTTGCTCTCGTTGCCGTGTAATGCAAATTTATATTGTAATCAAACAATATACAAGGTGTGTTCTAGAGTAAAAAGTACTTTTTATAAATCAGAACATTAAAAAGGTTATTTTCGGCTAAAACTGATTGATTTTATGCAAAATAATCCACTTCTGTCTAAATACAAAAACAGAAAGATCTAAATCCATATTGAAACGTTGACTGGGATGTGTATCAGGATATGAACACAAGCATGGGCGTACACATGTAGAGGTAAGGGGGACGGGCTCGCCACCTAGATTTTAAAATGTTTGTGAACATCAGCGGTTCCACCTAATTTTGGCCCTGGGTACGTCCATGAACACAAGTCTTTTGAATATCCACATAATTATTTTCATTCATTATGATCGCCAGATGCCAAATTAGGTGACTATGGAAAGCGATTAATCTTGCCAACACATGTAATTGCGAATATATAGCCTCATTATGAATATGTGTGTTTAAAAAGTACTTTTTACTTTGGAACGCACTTTCAAATATTAACTATAATTAAAATTTAATAAAAAAAAATTAAAAAAATTTGAATTATTAAAAAACTTTTCTTACATAGTTTATCACGCCAAAGATCGTCTGAACTAACCAATCAACATCAAACTCTAAGTCATACACGTTCTCCGAATACTAAAGCATCTAGTAACAATCCTTCTAACACAACTTTAGTGGATGGTGCTAGTCACGCTATGCCACAACATCATCACAGATATTCAACAAGTAAAACTCGTGCACGACAGTTTAGTGGCTCCTCCAGTAGTGAGTCCAATAATTCATTACCACCAATTGGTCACAATAATAATAACAACAATAACAATAATAAAACGGCATTACGCGTTAATTGCAACAATAATTATCAGCAACAACAGGACCATCAAGAACAATATTATTATAACGCAGCAGATAATAATAATAACAACAACAACATTGGCAGTGGCAGTGGCAATGGCAATGATAATATGAGACTTTACAACAAGAGTACGACGAATGGCAATTTCGAATCTCCTTTAAGTTCACCTATGGCGACATCGTCAATATCTGCAACGCAAAATCCCTCCTACCAGCAACCAGAAGCAACAAGTCCTGGAACACAAAATGCAATGCTTAACCCGCATCATTCGAATTCTTCACTGTCATCCTCGTCGAATATGAGCTCGAGTATGAAAATGTCCAAGTTTTGCCATGAATGTGGCACCAAATTTATAATTGAACAAGCTAAATTTTGCATGGATTGCGGTGTTAGACGTATTGTTCTGTAGTCTCGCTTCTAAACATACGTATTTCATTTAATTTAATAATATACACATATACATATATATTTTTATATCGAGTTTAAACGTTACGTTTGTTTGTATGTATGTAAGCAAACCTGACTAATTGGTTAGCAAGAATAAGTTTGACTTTAAATTTGCGATTTCTTTTGCTTAACTACTATTTTATATGGAAACTTTGAAAGCATTATTTTAAATATATGTATGTATATAGAAATATTGAATTGTTATACATAATTTTCTATTTGCTTAATGCTGTTTAAATTTTAAATAAATTATACTAAATAATGGCACATAAAATGCTTTACTCATTGAAAATTATTTAAATTTAAAATAAATAGAATTTTACAACAATAAAATAACAATTAATATGTATTCACGCATAAAGTCACAATATTAATGAACAAATCTAATTATAAAGAATATCTAATACTTAACTAATAATATATGCATAACTATATTAAATTAAAATTTATCCTAATACATAATAAATTAAATTATTAATGTGTAAAATTAAAAAAAAAAATTTTTTTAATTGTGCCGTCGATAGGAAACAAACCACATTACAACATTAAGAATCTTGCTAATGACTGTAGTCTTTAATCATATAATCATAGCATATTTGCTTTTCGACTTAATAAATTCTATCAAAAATATAGTATATTAACATAAGAGCTTTGAAACATTCGAGCATTACAAGTAACTCGAGTTGTGCAAAGATATTGAATTACTCATCGACATCCGAGTCGCTTGAAGACATTTTAGTTGCTCGAAGACATTCGATTTGCTCGAAGATATACTAGTAGCTCGAAGACATTCGAGTTGCTCGAAGATATATTAGTTGCTCGAAGACATTCGACTTGCTCGAAGATATACTAGTTGCTTGAAGATATACGAGTCGCTCGATGACATTCGAGTTGTTCGAAGACAATCAAGTTGTTCGAAGATATTCGAGTTGCTGGAAGTCATTCGTGTTGCTCGAAGATATTCGAGTTGCTGGAAGTCATTCGTGTTGCTCGAAGACATTCGAGTTGCTCTAAGACATTCGAGTTGCTGGAAGTCATTCGTGTTACTCGAAGACATTCGTGCTCATCGAAGACATTCGTGCTTCTCGAAGACATTCGAGTTACACAAAGACATTCGAATTGCTGGAAGTCATTCGTGTTGCTCGAAGACATTCGTGTTGCTCGAAGTCATTCGAGTTGCTCGAAGATATACTCGTAGCTCGAAGACATTCGTGCTCATCGAAGATATTCGTGCTTCTCGAAGACATTCGAGTTACACAAAGACATTCGAATTGCTGGAAGTCATTCGTGTTGCTCGAAGACATACGAGTTGCTGGAAGTCATTCGTGTTGCTCGCAGACATTCGAGTTGGTCGAAGACAGTCGATATAGGACTCATGAATTTCATCAAATCTAATAAGGAGGTGTATATGATATCATAAGTATGTTTTTAGTAGAAAAATGTATTATTACTTGTTCTCCACAAGGAATGAATAAAATATCATTACGATATTAAACGTTCTTTTGATTTTTGATACCAGTAACAGTTTATTTAATAATTTCGTACTTTATGTAAACTACATGTGTCGTACTGGTAATTGAAATCAAAAGGAACTTTAATTTATCAAATTCAAGGTTCAGAGTAAAATTTTAGAATTTTTTGAAACTAATATTTATTTGTAATATTAATAATTTTGAGTATCCGGCTTATTTAGTGGTTTTTGTAGTTCTTTTCTGACAAATTCGTAATAGCGAATCGCTTTTTTATTTGCTAATATATGATTTTAGTTAGTTACTAATTGTGTTGTTATACAAATTGCTTTATTATTTTTATATATTTTTGGCTTAAAAATAATATTTCTTTTATTATTGAAATTTATTAAATATTTTTAATTTTTCTTTTTTCTTTTAGCAAATGCCGCTATAAATAAATTCAAAAAACTTCTGCAAAATCTTTAATTATCTAGATCATAAGGCCCTGATTTTATAGATATACCTTACATCAACAATAAACACTTTTACTAATTTTTTTATTTACATATATAAATATCTAATAATTTGCACATATATATATATTTTTTAATGAATATCTAGTTTTTTAAATAAAATTGTTAATAAATACTACCTGCGAAAAAATTTTAAAAAGAAAATTGAATTTTTAATATAGATTGTCTCTTCATGCAGAATTCTTAAATTACTTATCTATTTGGAGAGTAAAATAGACATCTATCGTTTGATGGATGTTTTTATTTGTATTGAATTTAAAATAACTATAATTCAAATGGTTACTTCTTCATAACATATATTGGATATATAAAAGCTATACTACAAATAAATAAAATTTTAAAGTAAGTATGTATGCTAAGTAAATATGGCTGCTAAAAGTCTGTTAACATCGTTTTATCAGGGTAATATTAGGAATCCTATTAGACCACTAAGCATATTGTTTTGCGGTATAAATTTTGGAGAGTTGAACTGTTTCGAACCTTTGATACAAGATAAAATTCTATTTAAAAGATCTTGTGATTAGCTACGATAAGTCCTTAGCAAATGTAATCAATATTACGTATGCGTCATGTAATCATATATTCGTGTAAATCGTTCCTTTTGCTGAGGTAAACTTAGTCTCTGTCCAGGGTCTTCGCAAGATATTTTTACTTCTGGAAGTCAAAGAAAAGTTGTGTTTCATAATATTATTATTTTATTTAAATTTAAGATATTTAAGAATTTTCTATGATATACAAAATAATATAATGTTTTTGTTGGTTTAGTGTGTTGATGGAACGTTCTTTGCTCTAAGAAGCTGTGAATTGGTTGGAATAATCGTTCCTTGTTGAGGTTGTGGACCCATGTCATCGTCCCTATTAACCGTTGTCTTTGTTTAGCGCTTCGGTGTAAGATGTTACTCCCTTTGTGAATCTTAGATTTATAAGACGTCTTATTACTTTGCTGTAATCAAAAAAAATTAAGACGTACTACGGACGTACTGAATAGGATTTTATCGCAATTGAAACGTAAAATTGCCTTAACTACAATGTGACGATTAGATGTATAATTGTCTTGACTTAGATAATTATTTTCACATTCAGACGTATAACTGCTTGAGTAGAATAATTCTAATTCTTTAGACGTATAACTGCTTAGAGCAATTTCCTGATAATTGTTGGGGGCAAAAGACGTACAACTGTCTTGTATAAAGACTTCCTTGGTACGCTAAAAAGATGTATAACTACCTTACAAGCGTCGCTATGCAGAGCCTCGCAATAAGTGGCAATAAGTAGCAAAGAATGACACAAGTTATACATTTGCACAATGAAAAAAGGGTCCTGGCCCGTAGCTAGAATTGTGTAATTGTCAGCATACGACATGCGTCTGACTCCCTTAAAAGGAGAGTTTAGACATATAAAAGTTAAAAGGAATTGGTAAAAGATCACTTTAAAAGTCGTTCCTGGAGCAAAACTGCTTTCCCTCAGGAAACAATATCCCGCCTCTCGACATCTTACTTCTAAAATCAACGAAAGATTTTGTATTGTTAGGGCTTAATCTTCGAAGGATATTAGGGTTTTCAGCAAGGGGCACAGTATCTCTAGAAAAATTTTGTGTTAAAACTTAATTCTGCCTGCAGGAACTGATTAAGCAGCGGATTTGATGATAATAATGCGAAATTTTTTCATCGTTTCAGGTTCGGTATGGATTTCGATAGATGGAATAATAATTGAAATAGAACTGTGATCGAAGCCTATTGCTTATCAATACTCCGATTAGAGGCAGCGAGTAGCTTTGGGATTGCGAGGCTAGCATCAGGGGTCTAGAGCAAGTTGGTGTTACCTTAGTTTACGTGTCATAAGTTATAAGACCAAATGAGGATTCGGCAAGTTGGGTTGCTAATAGACAGCTCTTGTAATTTGAATGTAGATAATAAAACCACAGAGGACAGTGAGCATTCAAATCACTCAACATAAAATTTGAATTCCACTCATGGTGCCATTTCAACTCAGCGCAAGGGCTAAGACAGTACCATCCATTACAGCGGACGGAGTTGAAGTTCCTAGAGAGGGATTGGTTGACACTGATTTTGAAAGAACTGCTAGAAGTAGAAGATGGTGAAATAAATAGATCCCACCGTTATTGGAACTGGCATTAAACGTAGTGACCTGGGATTGACAATAAGAGTCTGCGCATCCCAAGTAACTAAAGATAGTTATCAGATCACAATACTCAATCCATATTCAGCATATTTCACATCAGTCAGTTGCTTCAAACTAAAGTAGTTTAATTTCTAACAATTTTTAGCAGGGTCGTAGCTCTACCCATGACGAAAAACTGTAATTCAACAGAGAAGATTCAAAATCTTTAAAATCCCTTTTCCTCCTCTGGCAGAGTTTTAATTTTGTAAATTTAAAAGCATAGCCAAATTTATTAACTTATCAGGTGTGTTTCCTATTACATATATTAAGTAGTCGCGTGTTCAAAAAACAGCGTACACAGAAGCTTAAGACTTCTTCTATTAAAGTGTTCTTTCATTTATGCTGCATACGGTTGCTAATCCATTCCTTTCCAACATAATCTATTACTGATACTTATGCATATGAAAAAAATTTGAAAAGAATCTTTAACATCATTATTTATATTTTTCAAGTCCCGAAAAATAATACCATTATAACATTTATATATCAGTGGTAAATAAATTATTTCATACATATGAATATATATTTTTTTTTTTCTGAGATATATAACCATTCAACCAATCAAAGGATTCATTGCATTTTCACTAACTTAATTTAACTTTTATTTTTCAAATTATAAAGTTACTGTTGGTTTGATTGAAACATGTAAAATTTTTAACAAAAACATTTGCAATAACTAACATTAAAATTATAACAGTAAAATTTTAAATTATTAATTGAACAGCTAAAGATTTTTCAAAAAGGATTCACCAAATTCAAAAATGTACTCGCCAGTGAATAAGACTAAAGCACAAAACGCGAAACTAATGTCGATTAAGAAACAAACAGCTAAGGAAATTTCTAGTGCCGTATTTGCCCATAACGGTATTTGTCTAACTACGGCACCGCAACCTAAAATGAAGTATCCTGACAAGAAGGATATATTAAAACGTGCTCGTGGTAGGTATGTTGAACTACGTAAAGAAACTATTGCAGCTAAATCACACCCAATGAAGCAACCAACCGCAGAAGTAGTTTCATCAAATTATTCGCTCAATAAACGTAATTCGGCTATTGCTGCTAAGTTATCGGAGAAGAGAAGACAACAAATGCCTAATCCTCCTCCAATAGCTAAAAATCTAATGTTGCCTGCACCAACATCACGTCATCGTACTGCATCACGTAACCAGTTGCCCAGCAGAGATGCTCAACCGGTGCCGTATCACTATCCCTACGGGCACACGCTTCCTCATTCACGTCAATATGCAGAACTTGTTGAAAAGGGTATACAAACTAACAAAGCTGAAATTTTAAATCATAGTTTAATTGTTGGTGAAGTCAAGTATATTCTACCATCAAGGAATGTTGTTATTGAAATTGAAAGAGATCGTAGGGAGGCAAAGAAGCGGGCACTACTTAAGGTGAAACGTAAATTTGAAGAGCATTCCGAAAAACAGGAACAACACCTTACTGATTTAAAGGATTTTCTGGAGAAGGCATGCGTTACAAGGCGTACACGTAAACCTCGTGAAGCGCTAGAGATGGATAAAAAGTAATTCATTTATAAATTGATAAATATATTTATCATTTAAAATATTTAATACAAAAAATGAAAATGTTATACTCAATTAAGTATATCTAATAAAATTTTTATTCTATTTTATTAAATCTTGTTAGACTTATGAAATCAATGGATGAATTCTTTGCCAAAGAAATGCCCAAAGTTGAGTCCATTACCAACATTAAAGAACGTATTAAACGCAAGGAGCTTGAGTTGCTGAATCTTTTTGATAATGTTGATACTTTCAAAATAACCAGCGATACCACTAAGGATTAAATACTTATATTTTATTTTTGACTAACATTTTTATTTTATTCGTAATATCGTTACATTTTGGTAGAACAAAATTCTTTATAACGAGTAAAATAAATGTTCGTTTTAAATAATGAAAACCTGATGGATCATATAAACAATAAAGGAATCCGGATATTTAACATACACGCAATAAAAATAAATTCTTTTTTTTAATGTTATTGTTCAGTATACAATGATTCTACCAAGAGGTTATTATTTTATATCAATATACGTTTATTGAGTGAGACATATATCACCATATTTCACATTCCCTATTGCAAGAACCATTTTCTATAAACAAATAAATATCATAACTATATATACTCATTAATAACTTAATAACTTTATATAAAATATCAAATGATTAATTTTTATTGGATATTTCTTTTGAATTATATTCGAAAACGAAATTTAGACTTATTAGAAACTATCCATTATACAATTATTACAACGTCAGAAATTAATATATACATTAACTACATTATAATTTGAATAGTAGTATAAGTACTGATCTATTGTGTCACAATAGTGGATTGATTGTATATGTGAAAATTTGTAACATAACGCGTGTAAAGCTTTTGCACACTTATAATAAAAGGTTCAAATGGATGAAATATAAATGTCACAAGTTGATGATTTGGACGTAAGTCTACACTAGTTTCTAAAAATAATCGAAATTTTGTTATATTTGTATTGCGATCCGTGAAACGAATTGGCTCTCTGCTGCAAAGTTTCGGACGCTCCAAAGCCGATATCAATTGATCATCATAACAAAATAAATTATAATCAAGATATTGGGCGGTAGAAAAGCTTTGTGAACTAATTGGCAATGTTGGATTAAAACGCATTGCAGCTTCCGCGACTCCGCCATTTACAGATGCTATTGCACTAAAATGTTAACATGAAAATACAAAATTTATAAGATTTTTTTGTTCAAAAATATCAAATTATTTATTCTGTACTTATTGAAAGCAGCACGGTAATAAGCATTGTTACTAGATGAGGACGATGAATCCAAAGATTGTAGCGATCGCACATTACGAAAGTTATCGCAGAAATTTCGCAACAGATATAGCAATTCAATTGAAGATCTTGAAAATACTCTCATCACTGCACACTTTGATATACAATAAAATACATATAATTTGAAATCTTGAACATTTACATTTCTAGGACGTTTTTCGTAACGTATTAACAGATGATCCACGTCAAGTAGTTGCATTTTTAAAATAACCATATCTTCGTACTGCAAAAAATAAAAACAATACATTTTTCATAGCAAGCAAATTGAAATAGAGGAGTATGTATTTATTTATTAGAATATGTGTGTACGTACAGTTTGAAAAAATTTGTAGAATTCTAGCAATTTGCGTTTTCTTAAATGTGCACTCTCTATTTTGAAAATATTTGTATATATGTGCGCAAGGATACGTTGTTTCAAATGTGTTAAAGGTAAAGCGCCCATGTATACACAATCTGGAATAGGCACACGAGCCTCGTCCATATCGTTAGCGAAAGGACCAATTGTCTGTAAGCGCACTAATTTTCCGTTAACTAATTCCACTACTTCAATACATTGCCTAAGTTTAGATAGAATTGCTATAGTATGGTTATAAACAGATACTCCGTGATGATGCGATAACATTATGTGATCTTTATTATAGAGCAATGTATCTACTACGCAATCCTTTTCAAGATCAACCAAGAAAAATGTATAATTACATAACGAACAATCTGGGTATATATCAGGATATGTAAATATTATTCTAAAAGGTAGTTCATCATGCGAGGAAGTTACTGCCGCTAGTAGTACATAACGACCATTCTCTAAGAAAATGCTAAATTCACGATTCAGCTGTCCATATGTATGAGTTACACTACTGCCAAAATGTATACGGGAGCGTAAAGTAAATAAACGTTTGAATACTTCTTGTCGAATTCGCAACGATTCTAGAGATTGATCTGCAGCCGTTATGCATTCGCCTTGTTCATTTTTAAAGAGTTCAGCCGCATGTCCAACTCCTGCATATTTCCAAACTTCTAGTGAGCGCTTATCGTTTGAAAAACTTAACAATAGTTTTCCATTTGGCGAAAATTTGCGTATAAAACCTAACGGCCTATCAACATTTTGTATTGTTAAATTTGGCAAAATGCTCTTATGAAATTCACGCTCGAAGTATAAATAGTCTGAACAGGGAGTGGAGCGTATATGACGTCGCTTATAACCAGATTCACGATCCGTAAGGTGGTGTTGCAGATTTTGTGAGTATTTTCTTGTCGGTATTTTATAAGGATTCCACATTTATTTTTAAACTTAAATTAATTGTACTATTGTTCTTCGAAATCAATTACACATACATTTATTTGTTTATAAAATCAACAATTTAGCCGGTCTTTTAATGTAAATTTAAAGAATATTATCGATATTATATTATGACAGCTGATGGTGATCGTTAGGGCTGCCAACATTTATTTTTTAATTGAAATAAGTTCAAAAAATATACATGTTTTGTTTAATCAAATGTTTGCATGAGAGTTTTTAGTCTAATTTTTATCTAATTTACCCTACTCGAAATTCTGGTAAATACCAACATTTACTGTCACACCAACATAAATTACAATTTCCCTCAATTTAGCATCAATTTACTCAAACTCGCACACGGCCTACATACTTTTGAATTGTCCATACGATCACGCAAGGCAAAATTCGTATGCGATGTAACCGCAGCATAACTGTTTCAAGCAGTCAATTGAATTTTTTTTTATATATTTTCATATATAAGAAACATTTCGAAGTATAAATTATGCATGAATCGTCCAATTTACCAGCGAAGTCAGGTATCATTTGCGCTTTCATAAATACGATATACTTGTACCAGAATAAGATCAATTAGATCCTTTGTAATAAATTGAATAATCGTAAATACATATATTAAATACCTAATTTACATTATGAACAGATGCAATATCATTCAGTTAGAAATAACAAATATAGTGTAAAAATGTGGGGATCAAAATAAATTTATTAAAACTAAGAATGAAAAATAATTTCAGCAATCTGAATCTTTAATCTTGTACAGTAATCTTTCCACCTGTGCAAGAGCGTATGTACAGATGAAATAAATAAATTGAATAGTTCAAAAATATTGTGTCGACTAGCAGTACAAAATCTGGTGTTTACAACAGGCTGTGAATAATAAAACGTGCGTTTGTAATTCTAAATTTACTTAAAAATTTTAAATTTTAAACATTCAGCATATGTACTCATTCCAACTCAGTTATATATAAGAAGCCGTAGCCTGGTTCTAAGTAAATACTTGCTTTCATATAGAGCAAAAACACGTTAGTAGACTTCATCTGTAAATTTTAAAAATTTTCATGTGAAATATCATAAGCAAAAGTTATTAAGTTTTCTAATAGAGTTTTGTTTATCCAACGAAACTCTATAGTCCAGAGAAATGTGGGGGAGAACAATTAAAAAAAAATTTTATAGATGATTCTACAATCCACATAACATGCCCTGTTTTCGCTACTGCATGAGGAATTCTCGGATTAGTTCTTTTATTGTTTGATGATATTAATGAACCACTGATATCGCGTGAATTATTGGCATCACTGATTTTGTTTATGCGGACAATCCTCAAGCTCTTAACGGTTTAAGAGTTAATATTCGTCAAATAATGGCCGAACTGTTACCAATTAAATGCCGATAATTCATTGAAACTTACATCAAACGATTCAAATACTGTAAGATATCAGTATTGAATAATATCAAAGTCCAGTCAATACATTAGAAATGTAAGTACTTTTCAAATCTCAACCAAAACTATTTTTTATTTACATTTTGTTTCAGAACCACAAAATAGATCATCATTGAAATTGAGTGAATTAAAGTAATTAATATATCAAAACTAAAGTAAACATTATAAATAAAGTTTAATGTCAAAAATAATTTTTTAAAAAATTTCAATATAAATAATATTTTTTTTCAGTTCAAAAATTGGTTCTATTTGAGAGTTGAACTTACAATTGAAAAAAAATGTACAAATGCGTGAACCGTTTTGTAGAGCACGAGTATATGTCACAACTATTTTAATTGCGGAAGTGTTGTTGGGCATTTTAATAGTGGCTCTGACGTTAATCTATCACCGAATACTCGGTGGCTATCTCGGTGAAAAAGAATGCAAATTACTCACAGGACAATTATTCAACACTTACTTACTTGGAACACAACTAATCATAACATATTTTTTTAGCATTTTTATGTGGAGACGTTTGTGGAAACGGAAGTATACTCCAAATGTCGAGCTTCTGCTGCACCTCTGGATATTTTTTACATTTTTGATTGTTTTTTGTGGTTTTGGGTCAATTTATTCATTGTTTAGTTGTGCGGATTCGTTGGAGAACCTAGCAGAGACATCGTTATTAAAGGGAATTGATCTGTATTATACATGTCCAGAATGGAAGTTAATGTGGGACAGTTTACAATATTATAAAGAATGTTGTGGTGTGCATAGTTATAAGGACTGGATGAAGGCCTCTTGGATGCCACAAGAATTGCAAACTTCTGATCAGGGCAGTTGTTCTGGTATTAGCAAGTACGATATATTTTTCGCTTGGCTATTAAATATTATAAAACTAAATATTATTTTTTTTCAATACTAGAGATACAATTCTGGCGCCTTATGCATGCTGTAAACACGATTGCAGCACGTGCTATCAGAACTATGTTCCGCACCCTGGCAGTGGGGGTGAAATACCTGCATTAAGTATAGGTCAAATAAATACTTACGGATGTTTGCCGATTTTTGCGAACAATATGTGGAGAATTTTATATACTTTGTTGGGTCTTATGATTGTCGCATTTAAACTGGATGTGAGTTATATTTTCAATTTATTTTTGAACATTTGAGCCAATAACGCAATCAAATTTTATCTGCATTTTAGATCATACTTTGTTGTATGACAAAATATATTATAAGAAATCAATGTATGGATGATTGTGACGGTCCCGACAATTATGCAGATGATGACCAAAATCTTGTTGTTGTGGTAACATAGGTTTTTAAAAACTTCTTGATTTTAATACTTAATATTTCTTTCCGCTAGAAATGTCCACCGAATGTACGCTGTCTTCTCCTAGATGAAGTGGATGGCAATTCAAATAAGTGTTGTGGTAATAATATACCCGAAATCAAAGTAATTGATTCTGAACAACAGTGCCAGTTCTGTCTAGAAGAACAACGGCGCTGCAACTAGAACCCAGGATATCAGTCAAAGCATATAAATTCTAAAGCAGCTCGCAAGTACTAAATTTAGTGATTTTATACTACGATGCAAAATGTTCAAAATATTTTGCATTATTAATGTTATATTTTAGTAGGTTGAAGTTTTTTTTTCTAATTTCTATTTAATGAAATAGTTTATAAAAGTTCATTAATAATTAAATTAATAAAATTTATTTTAACCAATTATTATTATTTTATTTTTATTTTTTATATTTTATATATTAATGATATTTAATGATCGTATGATAAGAGATAACACATTTCGAATAAATGCTGGTCTTTATCAAACCGTTTAACAATAGTTATTCTGTTTCTTTTCGTTACTTTAAAAGGACATAAACTCTGTAAGGACGGATATTTGCACATATTTCATAAACATATATCATAAACATACTATATAACACCAACACGACAATTATTATCACAAAATATATTTGCATTATAATATTACGACCGTGCGCAAGTTCGAGTAAATTGAGGTAAAGTAAATTTAAATTTCTTAGGGATTTTTTGCACAGCACTTATGTGTAAATATTTATTTCACTTATTTATTATTTTTCCATAAAAGTTTTCAAATTTATTTATTTATTTATTAAACATCTAATAAAATTTTCGCAATGGTAACACCTAATTTACATAATTTTCATCAAATTCACCCTACTCGAAATTCTGGTAAATACTGTAAAAGCCGTCTTTTAGTTCAGTTAAACATTTATTTATTTTAGACTTATCGATATTATTAAGTCTCTATTTTGACGATAGCTCTAAGACTACTTTAAGACTCACTTTAAGACTAACTTTTTTAGACTAACTTTTTAAGACTAACTTTTCAACACTAATTTTTTAAGACTGACTCTTCTTTTTATTATTTCGAACCAAGACGGTTCGGTTTCACATTTACTACCATTCCAACATAATTTACTATTTCCCTCAATTTACCATTAATTTGCAATCTAAAATTAAACAAATTAGTTATTTATTTAATATACATATGTGTATTTTATATAAAACTCACCGAAGATCACATCGTTACTGCATCGGCAACATTTTCAATTCATCTGAAATTACAATTTTTAATTACAATAAATAAGGAAATATATTTAAATAAATGAATACCTCATTTATTCACTATTTATATATTTATTTTATTTATAGTAAAATAATTATTTTATTATATTAAAAAAACATATATATTAAAGCTACCTCTACCGGCATTAAATTAAAACACTTTTGTACACAAGCGAACGACTCAAGAATCGTCAAACCAAGAAAACTTTTGTGCAAAAATCCGTAGAGTGCTGAATTTCATAACACAAAAATAATCAATGCAAACGTTGGCAAAAGTTTTATTGCGCTATACTTTGGAGCGGATGATTCAATATAAACATGCGCGCATTTTATAAGGAAGGGCACTTTCTTTCCTTCATCCTCCACTCTACTAGGTCTTTCGAATAAACGAGTACCTATTATCTCTTGCTACTCTCGCTCTACCTATGAAGAAAGTATCGTTCCACACCGACAGGAGAATAAAAAAAGATCACTGGGGACCACATTATAGAATTACGATAATCAAGAAACGTTTCAACAAAATCGCAGATTTCCAAAAGCAAATACCGGTTCGCTACAACATCAAAGCCAACACAGATCATCCTTTATCTTGATTTGTATATTTTATTAGTTAGAAGTTTTTAAATTTATTTTTTCAATAAAGTAATTTAAGTTGTATAGTAAAATAGAAATTCCTTGTTTTTGGCTTCTGAAAAAAAACAAAAATTGCAATGAACTTTGGATAACGACTGAGCTTACCCTAGCAAAACTTACGAATTAAACGTGTCGTTATAGCGTTACGGCTTTACAGCTCAAAATGTGTTAATTATTTTTAACACAAATTACATCGTTTAGTATTTAAGTTAAACATATAAAGTTATTATAAACACATTTTGAATAATGAATTGTGAACATTTATTTAGACCGTGTGCGAATTCGACTTCGAGACCGTGTGCGATTTCGATTTACTTTAACTAAATTTACTCAAACTCACACACGGTCTTAATGGGTCTACTCTATGCTGGAATCCATAAATTAGTCATATAGATTAAAAATATGGAACTCTATGTTGGAATCCATTTATTATTCATATAGATTAAATCTATGGAACTGTATGTATATAATATTACTTACCTCTGCCAAACGTTAATTTAGTTCAGAATTATTTATAACTGTAAAACAAACTAGGAGTTAATAGAAAGAAACATTTTATTACTGATTAATGTATTAATAGGGGGCGCAATATATTTATATACGAAACTTTATGAATTAAAAAGACAGAAATATCAGCACCAATACCATATTAAAGTCTCATCTTTGTGAAATAGATATGAAACATGATAAAAATATATCCAAAATATATCCAAAATTCTCCAAAATGCTGATCTGATCAACTTTTGGTATTGTTAATGCTGGCAATAGCTAACGATTCTTCGCTAAATTCAAATGCATAAGTGTATGACGCATTCAATATTCAATTTCATTACACAAAATAAAGGCAAAGCGCAGCAAAATTTCTCAGCTCATTCATTCAGAATATTTGATGCAATATATAGTCGCATATTCTAAAAAATTGAAAAGTCTTATACAAAAATTAGAAATGTGGAGTGGTAACAAAATATATTGAAATCTAGCTAAAAGTTGTGAAATAATATTTTCAAATATTTTTATAGAATTCTTCGGACGGTTTTTATATGATTTATTTGAAACGATGCTATCATATTTTTTAAGATTCATATCTCAAAATAATTTGGAGGAACCTTTAGAAACAACACGTTTAGGGGCTTGCAAAACAGCAACCACTGTAAGTAATTATTAATATTATTATTAAACTTTTCTATTAAAAAAAAATACACACATACATATATTTTTACTAATGTTTAGTACACACAAAAGAAATGAAAACTAAAAAAAAAACTTTATTGTGAAATCTGATCAGTTTCAGATTTTATATTAATAGGCTTTTACATATACTTTATTCCATACTTTATTCCAATTTAGTTTTTCATTTAAAAAATTAGATTATTAAGTATAAATAATTAAATTTATTAAATAATTTTAATAATAATTTAGATTCACTACAAATTATTTGTCTATTTTCTATTATTATTTGTCTATTTGTTATTTTTCATCTATATTTAATATCAACTTTCTATCGTATGTGGTTATCAAGTTATGTTGCTTAACTTAATTATTTTTTTACAGTTTTCTTCATATCTCTCACAAAATCGTGAGTATCTCCAACAATCTACAAAAAATATAACTGAATTTTGCTTAAACGAAGTCTATATTGACCAGTATTTGCGCAAAAAAAATTTAAAAACTGGTAAGTAAAACTATAGTTTTTGAATTTAACAATAATATACTTATTAAAAATAAATATCTAAAATTAATCATATAAATTTATTTTAGAAAAGTATGATAAAAAGAATTTGCGCACGCTAACTTATGTGGATAAAGGAACAATTTTCAAAGAACAGATAAATGAAATTAAATATGGGCTAGAATTTGAATCTAAATCATATATATACAAACACAAGTAAGAATAATTGATTATTAATATTTTATGATGGTATAATATAATTTGTCTAATTAAACTAAAAGCATTTTAACATAGAAATCAATAATAATAGTCATATCTTTTTATTTAGATATTTGTATTCCATTTTAGTTACATATATATTATAAGCTGGTCTATATTGTTAGATATACATTAACTGCTATATTTAATTTTAAGTTAATTAAATTTTTGTAATTTTCTAAAAATAAAGGTTTATGAGATTGTCTATGATTATTTATAACATATAATTTTAAATAGTGATCCCTATTTTTTATTCTTTTTCTTTGAAAGAATAATTCAGTATGTAATAATAGAAATAGAATGTATTTTAAATATATTTGTGAATTATGGATTTATGGAGTTGGTAATAACTAGTACCTTTACTCCTTCTTGGTATACATAACTTAATCGATACTCGGAAGATTTGGAAATCTGCATAACTTTTATTGTGAAATATTTTTTTTGTTTAAAGTATGGCAAAATGGTTATCAGTAAGTCTTTCTCCCGTCCCTCGAATTCTTCTAAGCGGATCTAAAAAAATTTTATTTTGCTGAATGATGATTTCCGTATAGATTAGCATTCTATGTTTACGGTTCAACTTTTTGCTTTTGCAAAAAAGGATTTATTTTTGAATATAATTAACCTACCTCTCTTAATTAGAAGTTAATTAAGTAAGGTAAGCTAATTCGCTTTCTTTTCTATATTAGGTCTCTTCCCCCAGCTACTCATACTAAAACTCGAGTAAAACACAAGTAAAGTACAAACTGAGAACGTAACACAAATAAACAGCTAAATTACGGTCTTTATACAGATTTTCATAGAACAACTTTGTGTAAAGCATTTTAAAATTTCAACAGGAATGTTACGCTCTCTCAGATACTCTCATTTACTCGAAATTTTGCTGGTGGAACGCACTTGTGTATACACAGTGTTACTCAAAATTACTATTAGTAACTCGTGGAACAGACCTATTGTTTTCTCAATATATTAATTCTATGCATTTTAGTATATTTTTCTCTTTTTTATATATTGTAATTCTTTTGGAACCAATTTCACAACATAATCCGTTCCATCCTCAGGATTTTTTAAGTAAATATTAATAAATAAAGATAGGTTAGATTAGATGAAAAAAAATATCTAAAATTATCTTATTTAAAATGTAATTTCGAAAATATTAATATTATTATGTTTATATTAATTAATCTTCTCTTTGCAGGCATATAGTCAATTCTGTCCCCTATATTCAAGATATATATCTTGGATATAAGTTTTGTGAACATTCAAAAAAGGTTTGTTTTGTTTTGAAAACGATTCGTGAGAATTTTAAAATAAAAAATATTTTTGTCCAACGTGATGATATTGGGGAATTAAAAAAAATAGATACTTCTATTATGGATTTGGTGTTTTACGTTGACAAAAAATGTTTATTCAGTAATGTAGATATTAAAATATTTTTAGTGCATAATAACATATCGGATGACTCGACAATCTTTAATTGCGATTCATTTAAAGTAAGTTTTTTATTTTTGACGTATTTTTTTAAAAAAATTTTAAATTATTTCTTTTAAACAGTTCAAACGCTTCAATTTAAAAGCACCGTAAGTGAAGTAAAAAAATTGTTGTATATAATATGATGAAAATATATAATTTAGCCTAACTATAAATCTGTACGATGCACTTTTCGTTTCAGGGATCAAAAATTCGTATATGAAATGGCACCTTACATTTCAGAAGATTTTAAAATTTTATACTCTAAAAAAGAAGAACAACAAATCAAATATTTGTGCCAGATTTCTCCAAAGTTCGAGTCATATATATCTAATGGCAAACAATTAACCCGAGAAAATATGTGTGAAGTTTTAAAATATTTATTAACGTTAGAAGATTTGGAGATTTTAAAACCATATAACAATTTAATTCAACACAACATATTAATGAATTCACAAAACCTGGAAAAATATGTGGATGATGATGGGGATGATGTTTTTGAGTGGAAGTATACTTTAGAGGTAAATATTCCTTTGCAGATATTTTAATAAATATTAATATAAGATATAAAACTGAGTATTTTTTTTCAGTTAAGATCCCGATTAGTCTGAAATGCATTTTGTATTAGTTCTATGATGATTTATTATAATCGCAATATTTCATGAACCTTTAACACTTTACAATGTTTGAAATCAGTTGATTAAAACGCAATTTTCACCTATTCCTTATTTTCGCTATAATAATACCATGTAAAATAAGTGGTTCCTGTCTTTGAATCCAAAATAATTTTCTAAAAAATTTTTATATTCATATATCTATTAATATATATTTATTATTATGTTGACGCTAGTTGAGTCAGAGTGCACCTGAGCACTTTTACTCTCTATTAACTGCGAGGTTTCTTCAAATCCTCTTTTTGCGCCTTGACTGGATTATTATTTATCACTTCATCAACTAATCAATAATTGACCTCAGATCGCATACCTCCCCGAGGAGCCTGTAACCATTCTGAGATTTGATAACGCGGTGTTAGTAAGTCTGTCAGATTTCGCAAATAATTTCAGGGCTCTATCCTTTATGTATTTATATATTTATTTATACATATTTATTGTCGCTATCATCTTCGATTCCTTTAGTTTCGTGAGAAGCATTGCGTCATAGACATCAAAAATGTTCACTTCATGAATAAGTCTTATTAAACTATTTTCAACATTACTTGTTATGTATCTATGGGCGTTGTCAGAATTATTCATCATGATTAATACATTTCTGTGTATTGATGTACTTTTGCGATAAAACGTTACAAATCTAGTGCATGATAAGTGCGTGAACTCCAGGATGTTAATCTCATCCTAGAGTTCTTCCAGAAATGGAAAATAAAAATTAACAACGGGAAAACTAAGGCCCTGTTTGTAGCTTGTAAACATAGGCAGCATTCACCGAGAGCGAGAGTTGGTGAAATTGCGATTAATTAGGAGGACAGCTTCAAATACCTGGGAACCACGTTTGATAAGCGGTTCACTTGGCACAAGCACATACAAGTCAAAAGAAGAAGTTTTGCGAAAGTACTGCCGTGCTTAGCGCTAAGAACAGAAAGTTGATCTGCAGCCAGATAATCAGATCGGCACTTCTCTTCGGATGTGTCGTGTATAGCAAAGCTTTCAACTCTACTTTCCAGAAGCTATAAGTTGCTCAAAGTCAGGCTCTCCGAAGACTCTTCAAAGTGACATGATACATCCGCAGGAATGACAAAAAATACATAAGGGACAAGGCCCTAAAGCTATACGCGTATATTGACCAAACAAAATGCTTCTAAAAAGTGAAAAAATTTTCTCGACAATGTTTTATTCAATTATCAAATATTATCTTAAAATTATTAGACAAAATAACACTAATAAATTTGTTTTTAACACTGTTTCGTATGAATATTATATTGATTAAATCCAACTTTTTTTTATTAAAAAAGCTATCAAAACAAAGAAGAATAAATCAAACACAAACTGCACCTTGCGTAGATGATGATGTATACATTTGTAGCAATGACAAACCTTGTGATTTTTGGTCAGCTATGGAAGAATCAAAATTTTATGGCATAGTATTAACTGTCTCGAAAGAAAAAGTAACATTTACAATAAAATCAAAACGCGATATCTGTGGAATTTGTTTCGATAGTCCTATGTATACCATAGTATTTAGTCCATCCCGTTTCACAATTCGTCTACAGTATCGTGCATTGGAGTTACTGAGTAAAGAACGAATTGAAAACATCGATCGTATTTTTTTTCCTGCAGGTGTTGATCCGATATATGCTATACCACAAGAGAGGTATATTTCTAATTTTTTTTAAAAATTTTATTAGAATAATCATGAGTTGTATATACATATGCAGATTGGTACTTTTTAATGAAAGCATTTACGAAAATCCTGAACAATTACAAGCAGTGCGCACCATAGCAGCGGGGCCCAAATGTAAAGTACCATATATAATATTTGGACCACCAGGTGAGTAATTAAAAAAAAAAGAAATTTAAAATAAAATTTTGAACGTATTTTTAAGGAACGGGAAAGACAACTTTAATTGTGGAATGTATTCTACAACTCTATTTACATCGACCAAATACTAAAATTTTGGTTACTGCTGCATCAAATACCGCTTGTGATGAAATAGCGGTACGTTTATGTAAAGCACTGTTCCACTATAATGACGAATTTTCTATTGTTCGCTTATATGCAAGATCATTTAAGAAAGAAACAAGCTTTCTTCTTAAAGAACATTCTAATAAACATTCAAAGTACTTCTCTCCAAACAAAAATGATATCAAGAAATATCGCATTGTAATAAGTACATTATCTGTCATAGGAAAAATTGATATTCAAGAATCCCAATCACCATTATTAGAAGAAAATGAAACCAGTGCTTCCATAACTCATTTTACACATATTTTTATTGACGAATCGGCTGCTACAACAGAAACAGAAACTTTGCTTGCTATTATTGGCTTGTTACCAACAAATGCAAGTTTGATACTTTCCGGTGATCACAAACAATTGGGCCCAGTATTACAGTCAAAAGCCGCAGAACATTTGGGATTTTCTATTTCATTAATGGAACGTATACTTAAATCAGCATGCTATCGAGTAAATCACAACGGAGATTATAATCGCTCCTTTCAAACACGTTTACGACGCAACTATCGTTCTCATCCCGAAATAGTAAACTTATTTAATCACCTTTTTTATAACAATCAATTACTTCCACTAGCCAAAGAGAGTAAGTACTCATATTTTCATATACATTTTTAATTACTTCAATTTGATATTGTATATATGTTAAATAGATGTTGAACTCATATGTAAAAAATGGTCTAGATTACCAAACACCAAATATCCTATTTTGTTTCATTCGGTTGATGGAATTGCTGAAACTGAAACTGAATTAATTTATATGAATCAAATTAGAACTTGATCGTTTCCATTGACATTAGTTGATTTATGTAAGTGAAAGAGTATTCACGTGTCAGAAAGTCCTGTGAAAGTTCTAAGTTTGTTTTATGTTTGTTTACATTTCAATTGTTAGCAGATAACATTTAGTTTTGTATTTTCAGCAAAAACTTTTTAAATGATCAGTGAAAACGAGGAAAATGCAAAACTTGTTTTTTTTGACTTGATTTTTTTAACTTGTTTTTTTTTTTGTTTATATACATTTTGTTCCATGTACCAAATATGTCAAATTGTTAGTGTAATTTTCCTTAATTTATTTTTAACTAAGTTGAAAAGAAAAGCCTTGAAAAGAAACCTTGAATGATTTTTCTGTAGATTGGAGAGTTTTAAAAATTATTTGCCAGAGTACTGAATGTCACTAAGTTAGATTAATAATAAATTTAAAAAATATAAATATATTATTTCTTTGTTATTTTATTTATAGCATTTATAATTGGCGCGAAATAGATGTCGTTATACATTATGTGAAGGATTTACTCAAAATCAATTTCAAAGATTTCAAAATTACAGAAGACGACATTGGTATAATTTCACCATATAAATTGCAATATATAAAAATCAAAAACGCTTTGGCAGATCATGATTTATCGAAGATTACTATTGGCTCGCCAGAAACCTTTCAAGGGTCGGAGAAGCCAATTATAATCGTGTCATTCGTCAGATCAAAAACCCGTGCTTTAGGGTTCTTAACTAATGAAAAGGTAACTTTGGGCAATCAAATTTTTGGAATATATATTTATTAATTTATTTTATTTAGCGTTTAAATGTCACAATATCGCGACCTAAATCAATGTTGATACTGATTGGAAATGCAAAAACACTAAAAATAAATTCCAATTTTAAGTTCATCATAGATTCATGCATTGCACATAAATCTTTTATAAAATCGGCGTTCGCTGAGAAACCAGATACATTAGATGAGTTGCTTAAAAAATTAAAAATTTAAAAAAAATTTCAAGAAATTATCTTTTATCTTAATATGTTCTTTTAAAAATATATCAATATCAATATTATATCTAAAATGAATTAATTTTAAAATTGAAATCATAAGAATAGTAATTATAGATTCATAATCCATTTGTTTTTTTTTCATATAATAATTTTAATAAAGATTATTTGCTAAAGTATAATATGTCTTAAGTTTAATTTAATTTCTTCACTTTAAATACTATTTTATATTTGGCACTAATAATTCTTAAACAAAATGTGGGCAATTATAGATAATAATTTTCTTATTCACACCTATGTACATATATTAAAATATCAGAAAGTCTTATGGGGTTTTTATACAATAAATATCAATATAAATGCTCAGTGTTCTGAAACCATGTCTGTCACAATCCCTATCCCTGAGAAGCATATGTCTGAAGTGTTCAAATCTCTCAACACGACTTACCTTAAAGAATGTAAAATCTCGCCAAGATTAAAAAACTGTACTGGTTCCAAAAAATGAATAAGCTTCTATTATATATGCCATCGTGAATCGATCATTTTGTAGAATATTTAGAAAGGAAGAAATATTTTAGATTAACATTGGTGAGACTTCGCGGAACAATGCTATTTTATTGAAAAGTTTGCCTACTTGTTTAAAAGACGAATCTTGTCGCTTATTCCCTCTTTGGTATTATTACGAATTAATTATTTTTTGGAACTTTGACAAAAAAATTTTTTCTGACTTTTTATGACAATGCAAAGCTTTTTTTATTGTCTTTCAAGGTTTTTCTATGCATTTGCTTTATATTATATTTTCTTCTTTAAATAACTTTTTTTTTAGAGAAGAAATTTGCTTTTGCACTCAATTTGTTATTTTTAATTAATTTATTCGCAACAAATGCATACAAATACAAACATTGTATTTGCTATTCAACCACAGAGTGCGCTTTTCCTCTTGCTTTAAGTTTATTCATCGCTGGGCGCTGTGAATGAACGTTTTTTTTTTTTTGAAATAATTGGATTTTCCGTAAAATAGAAAAAATTAAAAAAAAAACCAAGTAAAAAATTGTAAAATCGACTTTTTTGATTTTCATGTTTTTAGAAAATAAATTTCCATGTCTTTATAGGAAAAAAATATGTCATTGTTATCTATCTGTTTTATAATGCAATATATCTTTTACACTTAAGGAAATATAGTTTACAGTTAAGTAAGCTTAAAAACAATTATTATTTTTTGCCAGTTTTTTATGATAAAAATAATATATTCTGTTGACGTTTTAAAATTATATTTTATGATATATTTCTTAACATTTTTTATTTTTATTTTTTCAAATATGTGTCATCAAACACTAATTCTGCTTTAAAATTATTTTCGTTAATTTTAATATTATAATTATGTTACATTATTATATTTATTTTACATTATTATTACCACGAACACGGTTGGGATTTTTTTAACCCCACTAACTCAAAATCATATCAACGTTGTAAAAACAATATTTAGTGGGAACTAGGAATTAGGAATTGATGTACAGGGTGACATATGTTATATTTAAGAAATTATGATATTAATTTTTAACGATTTTGCACAAATTAGTAGAAAACTAATTTTATTGCTCTTCAGTGCTTATGCGTGTAAAGCGGTTCAACTCTTAGTTTTTAATAATTTTTAAGTGAAGAATTCAGTTTTTTTTTTAAAAAAATTTTATATTTTATTCTTTGAATTACTTATTTATTGCGTAGTCGTTTGTTTCTAAACAGTCACATTCTCTGTGGCTGCTCAGCTTTGATCTGGGCCAGGAGGAGGTCACTGGGTCGACAACTACTTTCTCCTTCTGACATTAGGAGGTCCTCAACGGCCGACATTCTGGCTTTCATTCAGAAGACGGAATGTCTTCTGTTTGGTTAGGGTCTGTTGCAGCACAAAAGATCAATCATGGTCACAGTGCTCCGCTAGTATCCCATTTATTGCTAAAAGACATATATCAATTATATTTTTGTTTTGATAAAAAAACTTAAATTTCGTCAATTTTGGCGCAGATAAATTTTCTTAATTATATAATTACCTGGATATGAAAGTACCACTTTCAATATATCTCAATTTGTGTCATTTTGTTGCCTATTTCAACCTATTTAGTTCTTTTCTAGGACTACTCGTATAATTGAGTAATGTCTGTAAGTCAAAAGACCTTCTTTTTCAACTATTAATTTCATTATATGTAATTTAAAAATGAAGAAACATTTTTAAAAGTGGCAATTTCATTTAAAACTGTTTTTCCTTGTGTCTTTCGTGCTTCAGTTTACACTGATTCGCTTTGATTAATTAATTTTGACTATACAGTTTATTACGAGAGGACAGACTCTTTAGCTTCCAATCACTGCAAGGATTTAAATAAATGAATACATAATTATGATAATTAGATTTTTATTTTTAAATATGAGTTTATACTCGTATATACTAAATTGTATACAAACTATTACATTAAGATTAACCTAAAAGCCAAGCCATTACTAGTGATACTTTTTAGTTGTATTTTCGTATAAATTTCATAGTAATTACTAATTGTTTTAGAAACGTAACAAAATTTGATAAATAAATTGTTGTAAGTCAAATTTTTCGATTTAACATTTACTAAGGCGCATTTAAGAACATGTAACTTTATTTTGATTAATGAACATATCAATCACCAATCATTTATGAAATTTAAATTAATTTTCAATGCAAATATTTACAATTAGTTTAAACTAAAAATCATTTTTACGTAAACAAGGAACAAATAAAGTTTAAAAATGTTATGAATTTAATTATTACGATTATAAAATTAATCACTTTTGAAAGGCAAATTATTTTCATTCAATATAAGTAGATTCTTTTTATGGACGTATATTTGAATTAAAACAATAAAAATTCAAAAATCTATCGCTTTTTGTTTGCAGGAATATAATGTTTCTTTCACGATATATATGTAGGGTGATTTTGAAATAGTGAAGCAAACACGAAAAATCACATAAGTAATAATTATTCGTTTATTGTTATCAATACTACAGGTCAAATATGATTGAAACTGTTAATATAATTTTTATTTCATTTTTTTTAAATTATTAAAAACATAATAATTATTTATTATAATAACAAGTAACAAAAATATTATGAGTCAGATTATATGGCAAACTACTAAATCATTATTTTTTCTTTACCAAGAGTTTTTTTTCCGCAGTATTATTATAACCTAACTGGGATTCAGTATGTAAAAAGTGTGTTGTTCAGTAAAGATAACGGATCTAAGAACGGCCGGGTCTACATCCCGGTGCTACTTGTTGAGCTAGCCGACTAAGCGCCGTTCAGCACTCCCAAAAGATATAAAGTTTATAGCACAAAGATATATTAAAAATACAATTTAATTAAGTATATTTTGTATTTTTTAGAGATAAATAAATTTAAAGGAAGTAATATTTAATGAAGAAAGCTCTAGAACCAGCCAAGTCTACTTTGCAAAACTGATCTTCTTTGTAGACTATCAAGTGCCATTCACGTTTTCCACAATGTGTTACTACAGCTACAATATAAATTGACGTATGTTTCACTGTTACAAATGCAATGGTTTTAAAACTGACCCATATTAAGAATGTTTTAATATTGTTAATGAGTAGAAAAGAAAATCGTTTTGAAATTGATGTTTAAATTAAAATAATATTATAAAGATTATCTCAGAAGTCAAATATATGCCTTATAATATTTTATGATTAATTTTAAATCAGTTAATAATTAACATAACATTTCGACTATATTTAATTGCTTTAATTCATATGTAATTTTTATTTTAAATCAAAATATAGAATAACAATAAAATTGACTAAGCAAAAAAATTCATTTCGATTTATGTATTTATAATTAACAAAGTGTGAAAACATTCATTTCATTTTAAAAATTTCGGCTTTCTGCACTCACAGTTAAAATATTTAAATATAATAATTTAAACAACAAATTTTACTTTTATATACATTTCAAATAATTGCTTCCAATTTGTTGTTTTAATTTTATTTAATATCTAACAATGGTCCAGTAACCCGTAGTTTCATCGCGTCTATAATAGCGTGGCCGATTATCTCTGAATACAGTAATAGCGGGAAATTGGTTCTCTTGTATAAATTTAATGGTTGCGCGCATCTGCAATATAAAAAGTACAATATGTATATTTAATATCACATTTAAAATAATTAATTAATAAATAAATTACATGCATAGCAAAGTGTGGTGGTTCCACATCAGGACTTGAGGATAAATGCTGTAAAATAAATTCATCAGTTTGTGATAGCCATAAATCTACACCACGAAGTGGATCATAATTGAATGGGCCAATACGTAGCATTCCCAAAGAAGAGTCGTATACATCAAGTACCTTCAATATATAAGACACATTTTAATATATATTTGTTTTTTTTAATATATATGGTATATATAATTTAAAATTGTATTTGATACAATTTAAAATTGTTCGGTTTCTTATATTTTTACAGAAGTCAAAGATCATGTATCTTTTAAAGAATGATATCACAATAAATACCATATATGCAAAAGTTACCACAACGCATATTATTGATTTTGTTTTATTAATTGCATTACATTTTTATAATATATGAATAATTTAGAATTTACCGTTTGTGCTCCCATAAAAATGCGTGCATCTCTTAATTGCCTATCTGGACCTCTCTCTGGGAAAGTAGCTGGAAATATTTCACCGGTATTTATATTTACACCTACGCCATAGATGATGGGGAAATTAATGTCACCGCGTACAATGGTATTTAAGTCTCCAACACAGGCCTGTGTTAAGTCAATTTCGAGGTGATGTTTGTGGAATGATTCTGTAAATTAAATTTTTTTGTTAATTCATATTAAGTTATTAAGTTATAAGAATAAAGAACTACTTAAATGAAATAAAACCTCCCAGAACTAATGTCGGTTCATGAAAGATGTTATATACCATATATCTATAAATAAGCCTGTAGCTTGGGGTAGTGTTATAATGACATTGTATGCGTGTTTGGGTTGCAATGAGTTAAAAGATTTTTACTATTAAATATAAGTGGAAATGTATAACACAATTGAAGAAGTGCTTTGATAGCAGTTGAATGTATATCACAAATCTGATGTACTATATAGAAATTGTGAAAAAAGTTTATACTACCGAAAGCAACATAAACATGCTTGATTAAATGATTGAGTATTAAGTAATGATTGAGTATTTTTACGAAGATCCAATCAAAGATCCAAATTGAATCAATTCAATCTGGAAATGCTTTTGAACTTTTCAATACCCTATTATCGAGGAACTATGTTACTCTTATGTGGGTACCGGGACAATGATGGCAATGAAATAGCAGATTCCCTAGCAAAGAGGGGTGCATGTACTCCTTTCATTGATCCAGAACCCTTTTGCGGGGTAACAAATACCTTCACAAATAACTTATTACGTGAACGGGAGAAACAAAATCTACTTGAACACTGGTGAGCCCAAACAGGCATGTGGCAGTCAAGAAGATTCACTGATCCTGAACACATCAACGTTGACGCTATCGTGAACCTTAACAGAAACGATATTGCAATCTACGCTGAACTTCTTACAGGACACTGTAGACTTAATTATCACATGAAGATTATAGGTGCAGTATAAAGTGATTCCTGTCAAATCTGTCATGAGGAGAAGGAAACATCAGAACATATCCTATGCAACTCCTGAACGGCGGCAAGGCGTAGACTTGACTACCTTGGAAGCGCGATCTTAGTCCCAAATGAAATAGGTGAAATTAAGCCAACAGCAATAACGGATTCATAAATAGTGTAGAATTGGTTTAGTTGGGCCTATAGGCGCACAAAAGATCTTTTAGGTAGGGGTGCATCCAAAGCCTATTATTTAATAATAGTAGTTTTACGAAGAAATGTAGATATATTGCTATTGAGAACTGCATAGAAGATTGTTTAATATTAGATTCACGGAACTTTGGTCACACTGAATTAGATGAACATAATTAAATTAATGTCCCTCCTGTAGGATAAAATTTTGTGGATAGGATAAAACTTAACATTATTTATTAGAGAAGACGATTGTATAGAAAGATTGCATTTTAAAGATTAGAGATCTATAACAAGTTGTAATTATTATAATCGTAGATATGATTAATTTATTATAATTATGTTTATTAAATTAAAATGTTTTGATTCAAAAGAAATTTTGCCTACTGTGGAAACATCTTGAAAGTCAAAATAAATTGTAAAAATACACGTATATCCACATATACATATATAAACATATAAAAAGATGGAATATAATTTCAATCGAGTGAGACGATTGTTCATTTGTAATTTTTTAAAGTTAAATCCAATAATTTCTTCATAATAAAATATATCATCACAGTATATTATATAGATATATTCCTTCAACTATTTTAAGATGCATAAGTTTATTTGTAATTTAGTTTCTTAAGTTTTTTGTTTTTAACTGAAAATGTTGCAGTTTCAAGTACAATAGAAAATAAAAAATATTTAATTAAAAGTATTTTTCTTTAACTTATTAAAAACACCTTTAACATAAGAGAAAATTATAAAAAGTTTCCTATTTCTGGACAAAGAAAGAAACTTAAAGTCTTAAGTTTGTATCCTTAACAAACACAAAATGAAAATGTATCATAATAAAGGACCTTTGCAGAAGGTGGTGTGCTTTGAAACTTACGCATTATGCTGTAGAAAACATC